TTGACCCACATCTCTCATTTGTACCTGCCCCCCTCCCCCCAGCTCCTGGTAACAACCACTCTACTCTGTTAGAGAAGTTCAGCTTTTTTAGGTTTAGGTGCCACATGACCTAAGTGCTATCATACAGTATTTGTCTTTCTCTGTCTGACTTATTTCGCTAAGCATAATCCCCTCAAGGTCTGTCTATGTTGTCGCAAATGTAGGATTTCCTTCTTTCTCATGGCTGAATAAGATGTCATTGTATATATACACCACATCTTCTTTATCCATTCATCTGTTGACAGGCACTTATGTTGTTTCCATATCTTAGCTATTGTGAATAACACTGCAATGAACATAGGAATTCAGATATCTCTCCAAGATCCTGTTTTCAATTCCTTTGGTTATGTTCCCAGAAGTGGGATTGCTGGATCATATGGTAGTTCTATTTTTGATATTTTGAGGAACTTCCATCTTGTTTTCCATGGTGGCTGCACCAATTTACATTCCCACCAATAGTGCAGAAGTGTTCCCTTTTCTCCACATCCTCATCAACATTTGTTATCTCTTGCCTTTTTGATGATAGCTACTCTGTGGTTTTGATTTTCATTTACCTGATGATTAGTGACGTTTATCACTTTTTCACATACCTGGTGGCCACTTGTATGTCTTATTTGGGAAAATGTCTATTCAGTTCCTCTGGCCATTTTTTAATTGGATTGTTTGTTTTTTTGCTATTGAGTTTTATGAGTTCTTTATATATTTTGGATATTAACCCCTTATCAGGCACATGGCTTGCAATTATTTTTCTACCATTTCATAGGTTGCCTTTTCATTTTGCTGATTGCTACTTTTGCTGTTTTTTATAGTCTGATGCAGCCCCACTTGTTATTTTTGCTTCTGTTGCTTTTCTTTTGGTGTTACATCCAAGAAATCATTACCAAGATCATTGTGGAGAAGCATTTTCCCTACGTTTTCTCCTAGGAGTTTTATGGTTTCTTTTTTTTTTTTTTTGAGGAAGATTAGTCCTGAGCTAACTACTGCCAATCCTCCTCTTTTTTGTTGAGGAAGACTGGCCCTGAGCTAACATCCGTGTCCATTTTCCTCTACTTTCTACATAGGATGCCTACCACAGCATGGCTCTTGCCAAGCAGTGCCATGTTTGCACCTGGGATCTGAACCATCAAACCCTGGGCCGCTGAGAAGTGGAATGTGTGAACTTAACCGCTGTGACACCAGGCCGGCCCCTGGTTTCTGTTCTTATGTTTAAATCTTTAACTGATTTTGAGTTGATTTGTAACTGGTGTAAGATATGGCTCCAATTTCATTCTATTGCATGTGATTATCCAGTTTTCCCAACACCATTTATCGAAGAGACTATCTTTTCCCCATTGAATAGTCTTGGCTCTCTTGTCAAATACTAGTCAACCATATTGTGAGGGCTTAATTCTGTGCTCTTGGTTCTTTGCCACTGGCCTATGTTATCTACTTTAATGCTAGAACCATATTGTTTTGATCACTATAGCTTTGTAGTATAGTTCAAAATCAGGATGTGTGATGCCTCCAGCTTCGTTTCTCTTTCTCAGGACTGCTTTTTCTATTCCAGGTCTTCTGTGGTTCCGAACAAATTTTAAAATTGTTTTTTCTATTTCTGTGAAAAATGCCATCAAAATTTTGATAGGAATCGCATTGAATCTACAGATGGCTTTAGGTTGTATGGAAATTTTAACAGTACTGATTCTTCTGATCCATGAATGTGGGATATCTTTTCATTTACTTGTGTGTTCAGTTTCTTTCATCAAAGTCTTACAGTTTTCAGTGTACAGATCTTTCCCCTCCTTGATTAAACTTATTCCTAAGTATTTTATTGTTTTTGATGCTATTGGGAATGGGATTGTTTTCTTTATTTATTTTTCAGGCATTTCACTGTTAGTGTATAGAAACACAACTGATTTCTGTAAGTTGATTTTGTATCCTGCAAATTCACTGAATTCATTTATTAGTTCTAACAGTTTTTTAGTGGATTCTTTAGGATTTTCTCTATACAAGATCATATCATCTGCAAACAAAAACAACTTTACTTCCTTTTTTCCATTTTGGATCCCTTCTATTTCCTTTTCTTGCCCAATTGCTCTAGCTAGGATTTCTGGTACTATGTTGAATAGGAGTGATGAGAACAGACACCAGAGCATGGTGGTGTAGGCCCGTAACAAAAGACAGGGCCTGCTCTGGACCCACGAGCAGCTGCAGGGGTCCTGGCAGTCAGAGTACTCTCTCATGTCTGCGTGTCTCCCCCAGGCATGTGTACTGCAGTGGATGCTGATGACAAGTGTCAGTCTGGCAGTGTGCAAGTGCACAGCTGGAGGGGCTAACTCCAAGTGTGTGTATAGGGGTAGGACTCAGCTGCAGGGGGCTAGGCTGCCATCTTACAGTAGGGCAGCTGTAGAGGCCTGGGCTGGCTGGCAGTGTGATTCTTGGGCTCTGATGGGGGTGTGGGAAGGGAGAAGGGGAGAGACTCAATTGGCAGGCATCAGTGAATGTGATTACCTGTGGGGCAAAAGATGGTGAAAACTGTAGGGAGTCTGTGGCTGGTGTGTTGCTTATGGGTTTCTTCAGTAGTGAAATACGCTGCGTTCACCTGTAGAACAAGTTGCTGTGAACCATGGTCTCTGCCACTGCATGGCTGCTATCAGTAACCCCTGCTTCTCTTCCTTGTCCCTAGCCGTCTCTACGGTCTCTTTAAGTCTCTGCTTTGCAGGTCTGGGTGGGGTGAAACCTAAAGAGGAACTTCATATGTGCCCCCAAAGGCTGGGCAAGCTGGTCACTCACTCTGCTTTTCCTTCCCTGGTGAGGGGAACTCTTTCTAGAAGGAAAGTTTCCCCTTGGTGCTGAGCAATGCCAGCTTGGGGGATGAGATGACAAAGGCAAAACGAAGCTGTCTTCCTTCTCTTCTTGTGCAGTTATTCTCAGGGGTTTTGTGTGCCACTGTGTTGCTCAGTTGGACTCCAGGGCTCCCCCAGAACTGTTTTTGTTCGTGGATAGCTAATAACTTTCCTAAACAAATAAAGTTTCCCTCTTGAGTTAGTTTGCCCTTGACATCTCAGTAAACCCATGCTCAAATTCCTTGCACCCCAAAGCCTTTTTCTCTGAGTATATCTGCCTGTGTCTGATGAGGTCTGACTTCAGGATAAGTCCTCACTCACACTCAGAGGACCCATAAACTTCTCCCTTGACTGTCTCTTGGTGTTTAATGAAGCCTGACTTCTCAATAAACTCTTGGCCACTCAGAACACACATAAGGCCTCCACTCCACTCCGTCTTCTTTAATAATGTAATGTGACTTATGAAAAATTCTTATCTACATGAACCATAAGTATTCTTCCTAAAATATGCTTCCTTGTATAGGATGAGCTTAGACTTCAAGTTAAATCTCACCTACAACTTCTAAAGATTCTTCCCAGGACTGTCAGCCTATATCTGAGAAGGTAAACCCTCACCTATAGTCTCTACATTTGAACAAATCAGATTCTCTATCTCCTCTTGATATTCTCTGTGTCCTTGTTGGTTTACATCTTTTGTATTTTTTTTTTTTTTTAAAGATTGGCATCTGAGCTAACAACTATTGCCAATCTTCTTCTTCTTTTTTTTTTTTCTGCTTTTTCTCCCCAAAGCCCCCCAGTACATAGTTGTATATTCTAGTTGCAGGTCCTTCTAGTTGTGGTACGTGGGACGCTGCCTCAGCATGGCCTGATGAGCAGTGCCATGTCCGTGCCCAGGATCCAAACCGGGAAAACCCTGGGCCGCTGAAGCAGAGTGCACGAACTTAACCACTTGGCCATGGGGCCAGCCCCCTTGCACTCCTTTATCGTCATTTTAGTGGGGTTTCTGCATAGAGCAGAAATAAATGCATACCTTGAAGTTGCCATATTTAACAGCCCAAATAATTTTCACATCATAAAAATGTAGTAAAATGTTTCTTATAGGGTGTTTCTAGTTATAAAAAAGGTAGAGGTGACCTTGCTTAATAGTAAAATAAGTTCTTGAAATGATTTTAAAAAAGCTTGAAAAATCACTGTGCTTACTATTGATAGTCTAACAGTACTTTTTTTTTTTTTTTTGGTGAGGAAGATTGGCCCTGAGCTAACATCTGTTGCCAGTCTTCTTTTTTTCTCTCCCCAAAGCCCCAGTACATAGTTGTATGTTCTAGTTGTAAGTTCTCCTAGCTATTCTATGTGGGATGCTGCCACAGCATGGCTTGATGAGTGATGCTAGGTCTGCACCCAGGATCTGAATTGGTGAACCCTGGGTCACTGAAGAGGAGTACACAAACTTAACCACAACACCACCAGTTGGAACCCTAACAGTACTTTTGACATTTTGCTATAATTTTTTAATTTACTATAATTTTGTGAATATTATTGAGTTATATTAGTAACTTTTAATATCTGTATTAGAAAAACGATTACTCAATTTTTACAGAAAAACTCATCAAATTCTGTAAAATAGATTACTTCTTCCAATTTAAATGTTATTTTAATGTCTTGCTATCTTTAAAATGCACTATCCTAATGTTCATGGTTAGTATCAATGGAAAAAAATGCCTGGGAAATGAAAGAACATGATCAATTTTATCGCTGAGAGACATATCAATAAATTTGAAAACTACCACAAAAAATTAAATGTCACAGAACACAAAGGCTATTTTAAATCTATGTATGAACAAACTGGCCTGGAAAACAGATTTCAAAAGTAATAAAGGGTTAAATACAGGCAGCTGCAGACTATTACAGCTTTACTTAGATAACGCAAGTATTATATGCCAAGATTAAAGGAAAGTCAACAAAAGTACTATCTTTATATGGACAAACTGATGAACTGAAAGGTCTCCCCAAACACAGATTCTTAGAACTGGAGGGAATCATTCAAGATGATATGTAGCATCTTGTCTTATTTCTACATCTCCCTTACATGTCACACATCTCTCTCAACAGACTGTGAGCTGTTGAGGCCAGTAGACTCACCTTCCCTCTCTTGCTCTTCACTGGGCCTAGCACAGCATGTAGCCAAGCACCTAGCATGTAGTCGATGTCTTACATATGTTTGATTAGTTGATGGCTAGTGAGTGAGAGATGATGAGCGACTCTGGAAGAAGAAACAGAATACATTTGCTTCAACTCCTTTCTCCCTCTGATTTTTAGCCTCAGCCTATGTGCAGGAAGCATGCATTATATTCTGTTCTCTGCCTGTCTTTGTGAGGTGGCCTGCTATTTTACAGCTATGCAAGTGACTGGGTGGGTAAAGGCTAATTTAACAGTGAAATATTAGCAAGCCTGTTGTGCCATTTACACAAAATCACATCCTTCAATTAAACTGTTAATGAAGTTGATATTTTATCTCCAGCTGTCTAGGTCCTATGTTTACCTCTCAGCTAGTTCTGACCTTGGGTGGGAAAGAGGCGTGCTGTTACTGGGCTCCCATGTACTCCCAGCTTTTAAAAAGTCATTCTGTTTATAAAATGAAAGCACAATATACGTTAATGAAAATCAAATAGTGTCATAGGAGTTATAGCAAAAGTCAAGTGCCTCTGCCCCATTCCTGCCCAATTCCATGGCAATGTCAACTTCTCAGAGGGAACCGTATTCAAATGTTTTTTATTTGTCTTGATAGTTTTCCTATTAATTCAATATAATACAACCAGGCCATAATTTACCACTTTATCAACTTTAGATATAATCCATTGGCTTTCTTCTATAGTGCATGAGGATTTAATGTACTTATACCATCACACCTGTACTATGAGTTTGTTAGATCCAGAATATATATATGTTAAAACCACAATAGTGGTAAAAGAAATTTTCACACGTAATTGTGATATATATATGTATTGCCGAGTACATAAGCATGCATTGCACATCATAGACACAATAAATATACATTGAGTGAATATATATAATTTTATGTTCCAACTCTTCCCTTAAAATGTGAATATTTTTCCCGTTATTAAACATTCATAGGTAACATTTTTTTAGATGGCTGACATTAACAGTGTATGGCTGCCATAATTTATTTAACCTTCAACTTATTATAAAATATTTAGGAAGTTTTCCAACTTTTTAAAGTTACAAATAACCTGTCTGTAAACCTCTTTATAATAAATCCATCAACTGCATCTCTGATCCTTGGACTAGATTCCTAGAAAGGGAATTACTGAGTCTAAAGTTCTTGATACATATTGCGACTTTTCTTTCCAAGATTTGCTTATTTGCACTCCTAATAATACTGTAAAAGAGTAATCATTTCATTGCATGTTATTCAACTCTAAATATATGTAGGCTCTAAGACTTTGCTAATTTTGTGGATTTAAAATGGTTACCTTGTTTTAGCTTGCAGTTTTTTCCCTTTTTTTTTTTTTCTGAGGAAGATTAGCCCTGAGCTAACATCTGCCAATCCTCCTCTTCTTGCTGAGGAAGACTGGCCCGGAGCTAACATCCGTGCCCATCTTTCTCTACTTTATATGTGGGACGCCTACCACAGCATGGCCTGCTAAGCCGTGCAGTGTCTGCACTCGGGATCCGAACGGCTAACCCCAGGCCACCGAGAAGCAGAACGTGCGACCTTAACTGCTGCGCCACCGGGCAGCCCCTCAATAAAAGTTTTTGTCACTGAAATTTGTAAACACCAGGATTTGATCCTAATACTCTGCTGGGATGGCTCCTTGTAGTTTGGACATGACCATGGACTGGGGATTTATCTAGATTGGGAACTGGATGACGGACAACGATTATCCATTGCAACTTCTTGCAGAGTGATCTTCAAATACGATATCTCACGGTGTCTCTCTGGAATTCAACTGTGTCCTACTACTTGCAGGATAAATGTCTAACCCCTTAAACGTGCCAAATATGACCTTTTCAGACGTGTCCCATTTACTTCTCCTGCCTCCTCTCCTCCTCTGTATAACCCTACTAACCCCAGTCCGGGAATACGCTACGCTCTCTGGGGTCCCCATCCTTTGCATCTCCACTGCGTTTTGTCTTCGCTTCTTTCATCGACCGACTCTATCGGGTTAAAAGGTTATTGTGGGCTCCCACAGCACCTACGTGGCGCATTTCTCTAGCCTTATACTTAATTGCACTGTGCTGCAATCGTAGATTTCTGTTTCCGTCTGTTAGATTATAAGGGCGTCCTCCTCTTCATAACTCCTAGCAAGGTGTTGGAAAGGAGGAGGAGTCAATAGATGTCAGCTGTTAGCGGAAAACAGCGCTGCAACATTTCAATACTATTCACTCAGTGAAAGCTTTTCAGGCTATTTTCAGTTTCCCTTCTATTATCTTTCTTTTACTGACCCTTTCTCTTCGGACTCTTTTCCCTCCCACACACAACCCAGAGGCTGCGGTGAGTGCGGCACGTTTACCTCCCTCCAGGATCCCCGGCAGGTCGCCAAGGGCACACCCTGCCGCCTAGGACGCCACGTCAACGTGGTGGCGTCACGCGTAGCGCTGACGTCCCGCCGTCGGGCCCGCCCGTCAGAGCCTCCCAGGACCTAGTTTTTTGCTGTTAGTCGTGGCAGCTGGAGCTCTGTTGGTGCTGAAAGCCGGTAACGAGAAGTCCAAAAGGCGGGTCCTCGCAGAGGCTGCTTCCTCAAAGTAAGGAGCCTTGCTGTCCTGGAGGACGCGCGGGCCCGCCCCCTAGCGCTGGCCGCGGTCTCCCGGGGAACGGCGCCGCGCGCGGGCGGTGCTGGCTGGGGGCGCGCGTGCGCACTGCGCGGCGTTTGCTCAGGCTCGTAGTAATGGGTGTGGGCGTTTGATTCCGACAGAGGATGGCGCGTTTCTCCGGCGACGACGAGGCGGTGCTGCAGGCGATGCTGAGGCAGTTGTTCCAGAGCGTGAAGGAGAAAATCAGGGGTGCGCCCTCCCTGGAGTGCGCCGAGGAGATCCTCTTACATCTGGAGGAAACTGATGAAAATTTTCACAAGTAAAATTGCTTTTGATGTCTTAAGCAAACAAACCACCTGATCCGGGAAAGGTCAAAGTGTAGTTGGATAAGGAAGGTTCATTTGATTATTGTTAAAATAGCGCCCAAGTTGGAGGTTTATTTACCCAAATGCCGAATTTATCTTTATTCTTTGCTTATTTTCCAAAGCTTCTGCTCCCGCGATGTTATGTTCAACACAATCTTTATTTTTTCTCCTTGGCAACATAGTAGCATTAATTGTAAATTACTGTTATTCTTTTAAGAGTAATTCTGTTACTTCAAGGAATTCCTATTACTCTACCTAAAAGCATTGAGTTCCCAAGATCCCCGTTCCTTTGCTGGTCTAATATTTCAGTGGCTGCGCCAATTATTCATCCTGAGCGTTGCAGGAATACTGAAGTGGGATTATTAACTTCCTGTGGAATAGTTTAAATTCTTATAAAGGAATAAGGCACATACACAGATGGCTGTGATACATGCCAGGAATATAAGGGCCAGAGAAGAGGTACGGAGTGCTGTGGGTTTGGGAGCAGTAGAGGTAGGAAGTTTAATAAGGTACTATTTCAGGTAGATCTTGAAGGATATGTTTCCTTAGAGACCTGTGTTTTTCTTTTGATTTGATTTATATAATTTAAATTAAGCCTCTCCATTAAAAAGTTTACTTCTGAGTACCTCAATTTATTATTAGTAGCAGTGGTAGTTTTAATTCAGTGTTTGCCTTTGATTTTGATCTTACAGAGATGACGTTTAAGTTTTTTCTTGTGTTACTTGTACTGACTCTTGTGTGTCCTGAAGTTCTGCTTATATAGAACTCCTGTCCGTTCATACTTGGGTATCAGGGGTCCTTGAGCCCTTTAATACTCTATGCAAAAGTTTGAGTTTTCTTGCAGTTTTATCGGGGGAGCATTTTACAGGTTTCACCAGATTCTCCAGGGAGTTTTAAAACGTGTGGAAAGAATTCTTGTTAATATAGAGTTTCTAATTTAGTTAGTATTTCTGGTTATACATCTGGTTTCTTTTGTGTTTCCATGATTTTCTTGTTTATTGCTTCATTGAATCCCCTACTAATAGCTGATAGTGGATGATCATATTCTTTATTTTGGAGATACCAGACACCAGCTTGTATTGGTTAGCTGTTGATTTATTACTTAAATAGTGGCATACAGAAAACAGTAACTTTCTCAGATTTCAGTCATTTTGTCATTAATGTTTTATATACGCATGTAATACTAATTTACCTGACACAAATCTGTATCAGCATTAAATTTGGGGTTCTTATTTCACATGCAAATAGTTGTTTAAAATAGTTGTAAATTACTGAGTACGTTTTTGCTAGGATCATATTCTGAGAATTTGTCCATTTCATCTAGATTTTCAAATTTATTTGCATTGTTTTTCGTTAATATCCTCTTACCTTTTTAATATTTCTAGTATCTGTAGTTCTGTCCCCCTTTTTCTGCTTGTTTTTTATGTCTTCCCTCTTTTGTTCTTGATCTGTTTTGCTAGAAGTTTATTAATTTTATTAGTCTTTTCAAATAACCAGCTATTAGCTTTGTTTTTCCTTTCTATTATATGTTTATTTTATGGTTCTTTAATTTCTGCTCTTTGCTTTTTTTCCTTCATGGGAAACTTTTAAAACTTTTGTGATGAATGGTTGGCTCATTAATTTGCAACCTTTCTTCTTTTTTTAAATGTAAACATTTAAGGCTACACATTTGCCTATGAGTATTGCTTTACCTGTGTCAATTTTTAAGTGCTTTTCAAGTTAAAATTGGATCATTTTGGTTCCTCTCAGCAGTCTAATAACTGTTGTAATAATATAATTTGCTCTTCTGCAGCTTGTTAGATAGATTAAATGCCTGCTGATTAACTTACACAGTTAATATTTCCTATTTATTAAAGAGATTTACTTGTGGCCTACCTGAAAAAACCCAGACACATTCAAATTATAACTAGTTTGTAATCTTAAAAGTAAGATTTATAATCCTAAAAGTTGTTTGTAGTCTTAAAAGTAAGATTTATAATCCTAAAAGTAGTTTTTAGTCTTAAATGTATAGAAGGTAGGGGCCGGCCCAGTGGAATAGTACTTGAATTTGTGTACTCTGCTTTGGCAGCCCAGGGTTTGGGGGTTCAGATCCTGGGAGTGGACCTACATGCTGCTCATCAAGCCATGCTTTGTTGGCATCCTACATAAAATAGGGGAAGATTGACAGAGCTCTTACTTCAGGGACAGCCTTCCTTGCCAAAAAAAAAAGTATAGATAGTAAAATTCATGTGTTAGCTGCAGTAGCCTGAGATCTGTGTCTTAGGAGGAAGGGACTCCTTATGTAGGAGAGGAAAACAGGAGGAGATGCTTGTGTTTGGTATTTTGATAGAGTCTTATAGTCTCAGAATTGGATGAGATCCTAAAGGTCAGTTAGTCCAGGTGCTCACTCATATTTTGTCTTTATTTTCAGTGACTTAACTCACCTGAACACTAAATATTCTTTTTTTTTTTTTTTTGAGGAAGATTAGCCCTGAGCTAACTACTGCCAATCTTCCTCTTTTTTCTGAGGAAGGCTGGCCCTGAGCTAACATCCATGCCCATCTTCCTCTACTTTATATGTGGGACACCTACCACAGCATGGCATGCCAAGTGGTGCCATGTCTGCACCTAGGATCCGAACCGGCAAACCCCGGGCTGCCGAGAAGCAGAACATGTGAACTTAACCATGGCGTCACCGGGCTGGCCCCTAAATATTCTTAAGTTACTTACATATATATTGCCTCCCAAAGTGTTTCATACTTCAGAATTGTCTCTCATGCCATGTCCACTATCAGAACATTGGTTCCTTAAATCCACCTGCTATTGTCCTGGTATAGCAAGAAAAATACGTTTATGAAACAGACTTATAGGGGAAACTGGTGTCTCCAGGCTGTTGGCATTTTTGTAACAAGATGGTTGTTAAGACAATTGAGTCCATAAATGATGGAGTTTCGGGTAGTATAATAACTTCCAGTGGGGGAACATGCAGTCCTTTAGGGAGAAACCATAGTGGAGGCAGTATAGCCCAATTTGAGGATTTGCTCCATTGGGCAGCTGCACTAAACTCTGCTTTCCGTAGCTGCTTCTGTTTTTCCACCTTAACCTCTACACATTCTCTAAAAGATGCAAGCTTTTTCCCTTTTCGCTGAAAAGTAGCAGCAAGGATTTGAGGCCTGTGGGAGGGGAGAGAGGTAGAGAAGAGGACATTGCTTTCATTATATATGTTTGTGTTATGTAAATATTTACACTTAGACTGGCCGCCTATAAAATCAATAGCCCTGGTTTTTAATCTTGTCTACTCTAGAATCACTTGGAGGCTGTTTAAAAAATACTGATAATGGGCCTTAGCATAAATGAATCAGAATTTCCTGGGGGAATAGTAGAGGCTGGGCCTCGGTGTTTTGGAAAAAGCTCTAGGAGATTCTAATATGCAGCCAGGGTTGAGAACCGCAGAGTTAGAGCATACTTACTTGCATTTCAGTGAGAATTGTATTATAGTTTTTTTGGTTTTTTGAGATACTAACTTTAATGATTGTAACAGTCTCTAATAAAGGGGCTCATGTTTGCAACCCTCTAATCTATTTTTGCTTTCGTACAGAAGGAACACGGTAATATTTATTGAATTGGGTTTATTCTTTGTTTTACAGAAGAATCGACCAGTGACTTTTTAAATTAGTGAACTCTAGTGTGTTTATGTGTAGCTTCAGGAAAACATCCATTATGTAAAGTTCTATCCCTGTATGGAGAAATTGCTAAGAATGATATGTATGCTTCCATAATTAATGAATACATTTCTAGTAACTTTTTATCATGACTCAGAAGTTTATTCTTTGACCTAAAGGGTTGTAGATGTTAGAAAATACTTGTTTTATTTTTACATAGCCTTTTATATACTAATATATAAATTTAAGTTTGTCATATAATAAATCATATGATTCTGAAATATCTGTTTTAAGAATTCAACATATCAGCATTATAATTCATAACTTATAAAATATCTTTTTAAAGCATATCATCACTGATAGATTTTTCTATATATGTTTGAAAAAGTTCTTCCTTGTTGAAATAGCTAAAAGGCTGATTTCCTGAAACAAACCTGTAGTAGATTTTTTATGTCCTTATGTTGTAATGATAATCTCTGTATTTGTGCATATTTTGTTATAAATATTTTGAACACGTCAGAAGTTCATCATGGAAAAAAAATCATTAAATTTTCTTGGAAAATCTAGGTAATAAAGCTGGAGAAAAAAGAATGGAAAAAGTGAATGTTCTTTTACTCAATTTTGTAAAATTTTCCTATGTAAGTGTGAAAATTTTCATATTTATCAGTAAACCAAAATGATCAGGCACATTGCTGTGTATTTTAATTGAGCTGCTTCTGAAATATGGTGAAGTTGCATTTTTTTTTAGTAGCAAACAACTGTCCTCTTAGGTTTTAATATCCCTCCTTGAGGAATATTTGCAGAAAGATATTTTGCATTCTTTTGATAATAGTATCATTGAAACCAAATTTCTTTTTCTCATTAAGTTACTTTTAAGGTAACAAGGTTAGTAAAATATGTGTATAGTATATTTGGTGAGAGAAGTGTCAAAGTATAAAAAAATGCTATATGTAATAAACAGTTTTCACATTAGGATTATCATCACCATTAAGCAGTAGGAAACTGAAATTTAGCTAGGTCTGGTGTTTTGTCTAAGATTGCAAGATTGATCCCTGTAAGATTTAGAACTTAAACCTGAAGCAATCTGATTCATAGATTTCTAGAAGTGTAACAATTATAGATCCATTTATTGATTGTGTAGACCATATCCTTTAAAAAACTATAACAAACTCCATTATTAGAAAATTTAAAAATGAGCAATGAATATTAATAGACTTCAGTTAAAATATAAATAAATGGAAGCTGTATTTATTGTAGTCCATGACCATCAAAGATGTATTATTCCTATAATATTATATTGTTGGTCTTTCCAGCACAGTTAGAATTATGTTAAGTCTGAAGATGTTAATAAAGAAATGGGATAGCTGTGGAGAACACACATCTTTTTTCGCTCTTCAGATCTCACCGCACACATCTGCCTTCTCTGTCTCAGAGCCAGCTGTGTGTTTGGGAAGGCAGTAGAGGGACTGTCAAATGTTAAAAAATTATTTAAGAGTATCTTTGAAGGATTCTCTTGAAAACTTAATCTTTGAATTCTTCTGTTTTGCCTGTGTAAGTTTTCACCGTTTTGTATAGAATATGCAAAGATTTGGTATATAATTAGAAATATACAAACCAGAAAACAGTTTACGTTTAAAATGGATGGGAAGTTTGCTTGCATAGAGGAAGATCTTCCAGTAATATAAGGCAGTGGTGAGTCACTGGAAGAAGCAGAAACTGCTTGGGTGATGATTAGAGGCTGTTTTCTGTGACATGATTTAGTGAGTTTGGGTTTTGTTTTCCTTGGAGTATTTCTGAAAATTCTTGTTTATTATTTTAATCAAATATTACAGGACATTGTTTACAAAATATTTTTTCTCCCTTTTCTGCTCTTCTTAATAGATAACTATTTCATTGAAGCTTAGAAGTTCCTAGCTATACATTTACTATAGCTGTTAAATATTTAAAAGTAAATTCAGTGAATAACAAAATAAATTTTTAACTAAATTATGCTATTAAATATAATATGCCAATTATAATTTTGAGAAAATAAAATGTAATAGATTTACCTCCCTAAATGAAAGAAGTTAAATAGTATACAAATTGGTAAAAATATAAGTATTACGTTTGTTTCCCTTCCCAATCTCAATTTATGACTACAGAACATCTTTTTTTATTACTTAAACATTTTTGCAATTTTTACATCTTTAGGGGAGTGTGGGGTTGTGGGAATGATGTGGATTTTGGAGTAAGGTGAATCTGAATTAGTAGCTTGTGAATTTGACAAGGCTCTTTAACTTTTTAATCTATATCCCCATCTATTTTATCTCATATTGTAAATAAAACAATAAAATACTTAGCACAGAGTCTTAACACATGGTTATGGTTTAAAAGTCTCTCCTTGCTTGTATGCAAATCAGCCTGGTTGGTGGTTTGTCCAGAATATTGACTGTGACCTTATTTAAATGGAGATGCCCTGATAAAGGGGCTTGGTTGATTAGGTATTTAAATTCTAGGCCAAGGAAGTTGTATTTGAAGGATAACAGGCAGCTGGTAATCAGTTTTAAATACAACAAATATTTACTGAGACAGGTATGTGACGTGCTGTGAGGTTTTGGTATGAGTAAAATGGCTCTAACTCAGAAGTAAATCAGTGATTTTTGAGGACCGATTTGACTACAGTGTTCAAGATAGCACATGAGAGGGAAGAGTGAAGCTAAGAAGACAAGAAGGCTGCTAGTAATCTGTGAGGTGATGTGGTTTTCCTCTGATTGATGGAAATGAAGAAAAGGAGGAAGTGATGAAGCCAAGGATGTGTAAGAAATGTTAACAAGTGTTGGTGACTAGATGGATGTGATCGAGTGGGTGGGCATGGGATGCAGAAGATGGAGAAGGTAAAGAGCATTCCATGGTGTCTGTCTGGGAGTCCTGAAAAATAATGTTAGTCCCAGAAATGTGGTGGGTAGTTGGGAAGAAAGGAGTTCTTTTTGCTTTGCTCTACCCTTCCTTTCTTTTTTTCTCTCCTTTCTTTTTTCCTTACAGAGGGGAATATAGGAAGAATAAGAGACCACATATGGGGGGTTAATTATAGCATAATGCTATGTGAAATTATTAACAAGCAGTAAATGAACAAGGACTAATAACTAAAACAAGTATTTAGAAAGGATAAGCAAGTTCAAACTAACAGCCACTGATATTGAAGGAAAGGAAGAGAGAAACCCTTTCCCAGTCCTATATTTCAGTCCAACAAGTATTGTAGAGGGTTTTGCAGATGATATGCTAAGTGAATATGTCCTGTTCTCAAGGATATAAAGAATATAAAAATCTGGATTTAGATGTGGTCAGGAGCCAAGCAGAGGATACATCTTGTGACTACACACAAGATGGAATATTTTAAGTGCTAATGGAGAGGGACAAAGTACTATTAGGGCTTGGGAGAAAAAAGACTATCAGGTTTTGGGAAACCAAGAAAGGCTTTATCACAAGGTAGCATTTTAGGTTGTAGAAGATGATCTTACTTAAGGAGAGGTGGTGGTAAAACACTAAATTAGGTGAAATGATATTATCAAAGGTGTTGGGAAAAGAAAACATGGGGAGTGTTGGGCATGTGTAAAGGGTGGTAATGAAACGTAAATCTGGTAGGATAAATTGGGATCTCAGAGTGCTTTAAATGTCAATGGCAAAGTGGGTCTTAAATTTAATAATAATGACAATAATACTGAGTGTTCAGTTTATGCCAGGCTCTGTGATAGGTGCAGGGCATATATTATCTAGAATATTTATAATGATTTCCAAGAGAAATGCTTTCTGCATTTTATAGATGGAAAAAACTGAAGCCTAGAGAGGATATGTAATTTGGTTAGTCTCACACAGCTAATCAGTAGGGGAGGAAAATTAAAAACTAATTCTACCTAATTCCTAAAACTATGGCAGGACCTGCTTATTCTAAGTTATTGAGTTGATGCTTGGTCTGTTAATTGAAGAAGCCAGTTAATACAGAGGGTCATAAAATGATATCTACATATTTTAAATATTTCTAATATAAAGCAACTAAATGTGCATTTATTCGTTAATATTTTGAGTTGGTACTGCTTCTTTGGGTAGGAATCTGCTGATCAGATTCTAAGAACATTAGGCTAGTTTAAAAGCTCTCTGAATACAGAATCTGTCTACATCAGTGGTTCTCAAATTATGGTCCTGGGACCTGCAGCATTGGCATCGGCATTGGCCTCGGCTTCAACATCAGCCTCACCTGGGAACTTGTTAGAAATGCAGATTCTGGGCCCCAGTCTGTACCTACTGAATTGAAGCTCTGAGAGTGGGGTCCAGCAATCTGTGTTTTAACAAGCCCTTCCGGTGATTCTGATCCATGGTATAGTCTGAGAACCACTGATTTATAGGATGACCTAAGAGGGCTCTTGCAATTGTTTAGCTGAAGGTTATGAAGATGTGAACATTAATCTGGTGGCAGTGGGAAGGGAAAGAAAAGTTGTAGAGGAAAAATTACAGAATTAGAGAGCTTGTTAACTAATTAGATAAGAGCCGTAAGGGAAAAGATTGTGGTTAAAGCTGTTTGAGGCTATACACAGGTATCTGGTTGAAGGATGGTGCCATTAACAAAGATATATGTTACAAGAGAAGGTGGTTTGTGAGTAGGTGGTAGGATGATAGATTTGGTTTTGATTATGCTGACTGATATGGTGAAAGGACATAAAGTAGCCTTGTCCATCAGGCAGTTATATAGAGGTCTGGCATTCTGGAGAGACGTTTTGGCAGAAGAAAGAGCTAAAGCAATCACCTGTTTATTGAATTTGGAGTTGAAGCTGTGGGAGTGGAGAATACGTTTGCTGCACTCTTTCTTTTTAATCTAACTGTTTGCAGTTATAAAGTTTAAGTTTCTTGTCTACTGCCTCCTTAATTTAAAATAATGGGATGAAGTAGGCATGATCATTCCTGAGTTACAGATGAGCAAACTGAGACTTGCCCAGGGTCACACAGCTAGAGTGGTAGAGTTGGCACTCAGACCTTTTTGATTCTGAGCCTGTGCTTTTGCTATAAGTACGTGCAGTAGCATGGCTTCCTGTCACATATCTCCATCTGACTTTTGAGGCCTGCACTGTCTGTGGCAGGCCTGCCCCTTACACTAGTGAAGCAGTCACGGGGATTCTAGGAAGTAGCAATGTGTTCAGAGTTAAGGAGAAATGGGCAGGAGAGGAAATCCCAATCAAAAGCAGTTAAAATTAAAAATGAAGTCCTTTGACTGCCTACGTAAGGTGGCTGTTGTGTAGAGGACATTCAGTCATTTAGTGAATGTTGGACGGAAGACCATATGCTGGATGCCATGATGGACTCATAGTTATGGGGAGAAAATTATTTAGACTCTCCTTGATCATCTGTACTGCATATATACAGGGCTTTTATATTGCGATATAGTCAAACCGAAAGTCTTGAACATAGTGGCATTTACAAAAATGGCCTGTCCTAAGTTGTCTTTGTCATTTGAGAGACCACAAAAATTTAACCTTCTAAATCATGGTGTTAATTATAATCGTTGCTCTTTATTTTCAGTAAACATGTTTCATAAAATAATTATCCACTTTTGGAACACTTGCCCTCTCATATTCGCTGTATTGTCTGAATTTACAGACTAATTTTAATGTTACCATTAACCTAACAGTATGAGGAGAAATGTGCAATGTATTGAATTATCTAAGATACTTCTCTCTGTAAACACAGTCAGATAAGAGGTGATTAGGTGAAATGTAGGTCAGTTGCCACTTTCAAAATGTACACAAAAACTCTTCTGATGATGGAGCTTAACCTTTTCCTATTTATTCTTTCGTAATTGCTCTTACTCTCTTCTGGTTTTCCTCATCAGCTTGAATAGTTATGAAAATCTTTAACAACTACTTTCCCCACCCTTACATCACACATTAAAGACAGGAGCATAATAAAGAAGTGTGAAAAGACTCCTAACCCATTAAAGGTTAGGTTGATTCCGAAATTTGCTTCCAACTTCCCGTCATCTTTAAATAATGATCTTGACCAAGTATCCCAGAAAAAAACAACAAAATTCCAGATTAGCTTGATGATTTGAGGTGAATAAATACTTTAATCCTGGTTTAAGGTAAGAAAGCTAAATATGTTACGAATCTTTCTGTGCTAACATTTTTTCTGGGTATAGTTAATAATTTAGTTCATGATATTTATTGCTTTCTTTTTTTAAAATATTTGTTTCAGCTACGAATTTGTGAAATACCTTAGACAGCATATATGCGACACTTTGGGGTCTATGATTGAAGAAGAAATGGAAAAGTGGACATCTGATCAGAGTCAGGGTGAGGAATCTGGCTATGACACAGTTGTACAGCAAGTCACTAAGAGAACTCAGGAGTCTAAAGAGTAAGTATGGCCACAATAATGTTTTAAAGGAACTTTTCTCTCAGCAGGGTTCCTTGAAAGCACTTGATTTAAGCCCCCCACCATCTCTTTCCCTCCAGAAGGATTCTCTAAAACAGTGAGACAGATGGTGCTACTCTTCCACTCAGCTCTCTCTGATTCAAAGAGAGCTGAATCTCATCTCATTCAAAATAAAATCCAGAGTTCCTTCTATAGCCTGCAAGGTGCACCATGAGCCTTCTGCTCCCTCTCCTACCTCATTTCTTACCATATTTCCTCTCCCTCTGCTCCAGCCACACTGGTCTTATTCTTTCTCAAACAAACCAGGCAAAGCCCTCCCTCAGGGATTTGCGCTCATGTTGCTTCTGTTATGTAGGACACCCTTTCCCTAAATATTTGCCTGATGATTTACACCTTCACTTTCTTTTCTTTTTTGGTGAGAAAGATTGGCCCTGAGCTAACAGCTGTGCCAGTCGTCTTCTACTTTATGTGGGATGCTGCCACAGCATGGCTTGACAAGCAGTGCTAGGTCCACACCTGGGATCCAAACCTTTGAATCCCAGGCTGCGGAAGCGGAGCACGTGACCTTAGCCACTACGCCACCAGGCTGGCCTTTCACTTTTTTTTTTAAATAAATTTTACTTTTAGAGCAGGTTTAGCAAACTTAGACAGCACAGCAAAATTGAACAGAAGGTATGGAAATTTCCCATGTACCTCCTACTCCTACACATAGGTAGACTTTCCCATTGTCAGCATTTCCCATCAGAGTAATATGTTTGTTTCAGTTGAGGAACGTACATTGCCACATCATTATTTCCCAGAGTTCATAGTTTACATTAGAGTTTACTCTTGGTGTTGTGCATTCTGTGGGTTTGGACAAATTTATAATGACATCTATCCACCATTATGGAATCCTACAGAGTAGTTTCACTGCCCTAAACATCCCCTGTACTCTGTTTATCCATCCCTCCCTCTTTCAGGCCCTGGCAACCACTCTAACCACCTCCTACCCTCCAATAATCCATAGTGTTTTTGGGAATTGACATTACACTGAGAGAGAAACTTGAAATAGTTTCGATACAGTATGGTAAGTGCTGTGAGATATGCAAAAGATCATATGGAAATATAGAAGAAGAATATATCAGTTAGAAAACATCTTACACAGCTATAGCAAATAGACACCAAAATATAGAGCCTCAAAGAAGGCAATTTTTTTTCTCTTACATAACAGTTCACGAGTCCATGAGTGCAGGGGTAGGTAGGTGGATCTGCCCAATGAGTTCATCCAGAGAACCCAGGTCCCTTTTATTTTATTATTCCCTCACATCCTAGGGCAGGGGCTAGCAAAATTTTTCTGTAAAGGGCTATGCAGTAAGTATTTTAGGCTTTGCAAACTGTTGTAGTATGAATATAGCCATAGGCAGTATGTAAATGAAAGAGCATGCATATGTTCCAATAAGACTCTGTTTACAAAAACAGGTGATAGGTTAGTTTAGGTCCAGAGTATGTATTTTGCCAACCCCTGTCCTTGGGTATTACCTTCATCTGTGTGGTTGAAGCAGGCACACTAACTCTGCAGCTGTTTCAACCTGGCCAAAGGAAGGAAAAGTAGGGGGCAAGGTTCTTTATCCATTCACTTTTTATTGGCTAAAACTTGGTCATGTCCTCACACTTATCTACACTGGGGACTTGGAACTTTAATACCTAGCTGATGACTTTGTGCCCAAAGTGAAAACTTTGGGGAAGGGTTTTAACCTAACACTACCTGGAAGAGGGGGAGGATGAATACCGGGGACAGTTAATAAACTCTCTCACAAGTATCATTCAGCCTAGTCTGACAGTCGTCATGGAAGACTAAAGAAGGTAAGTTGGTCACTTATGAGCACAGCTTGTATTAATTAGACTCCATAGAACTAAAATATCAGTGCTGGAAAATGCCTTAGAAATCATTTGTTCTAAGCCCCTCATTTTACAGACCTAGAGAGGCAAATTAAGTGACTTGTCTCAAGTGGTACAGTTGTTTCATATTGGAGTCCAGTGTGGAGGCTGTCTTTCTCTTAGTTCCCTTTTGGGGGCAATTTTCAGTGTGTATCACCCTGTAAGAATTCTTAGAATGTTCTTTTTATAGTTACTTGTGTTCTTGACTCCCTACTAATCCACTGTAGATTCCTAAGGGCAGGAACTGTGTGGTGTATACATATCTGACTTTCAACCCTTTATAAACGCTCTCCATGTATATTGTTCATTGTTTGCTTGCCTTTCTAGCCTGACAGAAGATGGAGAACAATATCGTTTCTGCTTGAGTTGGTGCCTTAAAAACCTTGTCTTTTGACTAAAGAGGTCATGAGGCTAAAAGTTGGCCAGGTGAATGGAAGCCTTGAGTGGAAACCAAGTGGATGCTATAGACGTTAGGGAGCCACTCTGGGTTCTTGAGTAGTGGAACAACATGACAAAATGCCTACCTCTCATTCAAAAAACCATTTAATACACGGTAGTAACTGAGGTGAAAGAAGGTTTGAGGTTTCCTTCTCATATTCAAGCTCAGCTACGTGGATATTCCTCATTTTAATTCTCTTTCATCCCTTGCCATGTGATGGATGTTTGAAGGTCTGGTTTTTTTACCCCCAGCATGAGATGTGACACAACAGGAGACTTCGGGGCTGTAAAGGGCAGGATGGGCAAGTAGGGTAGATTTCTAGTTTCTCCGTAATTCACGCTTATGAGTGTTGCTCTATTCTTTATCTTCTAATTCGTAGGGCAGCTAGCATATTAGTGTTATCTGATGTTGAAAATTGCTTTCTGAAGCTAGATGGCAATTTTTTTTATTCTAATAAAAATTTTACATAATTTTTATGCACAGTAAAATCTTTTTAATTTGGATCCCACAAATTTATTTTTGGTGATGTTTTGGAGACATGAAGTTTGCTTTGTTAATTCTATTCTCTGGACTTGGAGGTACGTGATGTCTGTAGATGTCTTTGGCATCGGGTTTATTTCCATGCTGGGCCATCATGGTTGCTTCCTATTGCCGTTTGAAGGCAGGCATTGAAGCTTAGAATCTTTCCAGTGTTAGAAAAATTGGAATATATACCTGAGCTTATATTACCTATGGTATTTTAAAGCATTAAATTTGATTTATTTTTAAAGAGTTAAACTTTTCTCTATGACTTTGGACAAGACTTCTTTCCCTTTGTGACAACTTAATATTGTATTATCTAAATAAATATGGTGTTGAACAAAGTGACAGTGTACAGCTATAAATAAATTTAGCAAGTTCTAACCACTAATATGTATTAAATAAAAGCCATAGAGATCAAGATTTCTTATTTCTGGATTTGGAGGGAAAAAAAAACTGGAGTCATCTCCATCTTTGGATAATATTGTAATTCCTAGTAGTCTGTTTTTTGCAGTATTATTAAACTTATTCTAAAAGGAGTACTAAAACACTTTATTAGTCAGAAAATGAAAGCATTTTAATGCTAAGAGCAAAGTTTTATATGGGATTGTTAGGAAATTGCTTTTTATCTTTGGGTAAACCATTTAATTTTCTTGTGTTTTAATTTATCCATGTGTAAAATTAATACGATAATAATTACCTCACAAAGATTTTAAATGTCTTAATGAATGTTTGTCTTCTGCTTTGTGAATCATGGATGAAAGATTTCAAATTGCACAGAGTATTTTCGTTTGATTTTTATTTTTTTGTCATTCTTCAGAAATTACTTAGTGCTAATGTGGCAACAGTACATCTATTAACAACATTTTTACTGTAATACTTACAAATTACTTTCCTAATTAAACATTTTGATATTTATTTTTTAAATAGTGTTTTGACATAGAAGTATTCGTTTGTAGAATCTGTCATACATTACTCATATGCAAGTGGAAGTACTTACTATGTAGATTTTCATTGTTAATTGATGTGGTTTTTATTCACTACCTGTTAGAGCTTTTTTGTATTTTGACTTCTTTGGGGTATGAAAGAATCTTCTCAGTGGAGTCCATATTCTATCCTATATCTGGTTTTCTGTGGCTTTTTCAAAATTGCAATGGCTGCTATTGAGTTCTAGTTCATTTAATTCTTGATATTGAGGTTTAGCTATCTGGTTTCTTCTTTTTTTTTTCATTTTAAAAATTATTATTCTTATTTCTTCCTGTGGCCAGTTTGCCGATATTCCTTGCAGAAGAATTCATGTCAGTGGTTTCAAAAATTCATGTTTTCTGGAGCAAATGTAAAATGAAACAGATTTTCTAAGGGTTTTAATTACCCTTGCTCTTACCCTGTAAATCATTGAGATTTACTTTTATATTCCTTCATTAAATAACCATATGGTAAGCTTTAAGGGGACAGGTCTTTACGTTGTTCACATGGCTATATCTAACTGCAAAGGGGCTTGGGAGTCTAGCTTAGTCCTGTGCCCAGCTGTAGTCCAGTTACTGTAGAAGGAGACAACAGCTTTTGGTGCATAGCTATTGATCGCCGCCGGGGCATTGCTGCGCTTCCCTGTTTCTTGCTCCTCAGAATGTGTACAGGAGGAAGCTGCGGCCTGCTGGCTCAGTTATCCTGTTTGTTATTTGCCGCTTAGTCTAATGAGTGTCCTAGGATTCTTTCTTGGTCTTTATATCCCTTTACTTTAAACTTGGATCTTCCTTGACTCTTTCTCACCTCTATAGCAGTTCTGTTCTGTATGTATTTCCCCCCTGTCTTGTTCCTAAATTCAACATTGTTTCCATATTTTTATGTATTCTTATAATTTCTGAGACTTTAAAAATATTTATGTGTATATGTATTATATTAAATTTGTTTATAGTTATAACAAATTGTATATTGTTAGATAATATGATTATATAATAATATATTTTAAATTATATATAGAAATTATGTATATTTAATGATATGTAATTTAAAACATATTTTAAAATTTCTTTAAACTTTAAAATCTCAGTCTGCTATTTCTATCCAAATCCCCTAGCATGATTTTATTGCTTGTATAAGAGAAACTACCTTACCTATTCGTCCTTTGATTTATGCAGTTACAATGATCCATTAATCTGAAATATAAAGAAAGGAATGTTTCTGTGCTTATTTTCCTAATGTATTTCCATTATTGTAACGATAAGCAATAAATATATGTATCATGCTTTATATTTTACAAAGAACTTACAGGTATATATTCTCATTTATTTCTTGCTACAGTCATGTGAAATAGCTTAGCTAGATTGTATACTTTTTACCTCATTTTATAGTTGAGGAAAAGAGACTTATTTATGATGACAAAGCTGGTGAGTAAAGTAATCAGGATTCTAATCCAAGTTTTCTGAGTCCAAATTTTGTGTTTTATTCACTATGTTTATTTACATCTTGATGCCTTTTTGTTTTAACTATGGAAATTTCAGTGGTCCAGGTCACATTCCTCCCTTGTAAAATAAAGGGTAGACTAGGTTATTTTAATGGTTCCATCTAGTTCTAAAATTCTATTTCTTGGGTTTTTGGGGATCTCAGCCTAATATTAATATGGATGCCTAAGAGTTTTCACTTAATGAAAGGAGAAAATTATTGTAAGTTCTTCTTGAGATTCTAAGACCCATAGAACTAAGAAGGATCTTAGAAGTTATCCACTTCAAACTCCTACCAATTTCAGGAACCCCTTTGCTGTCGTCCCTGACAGTGGGTTCTCTAGTCTCTGTTTGAAAGGACCCACTGATAGCTTACCTCTTACTTAGGTCTCAGTTTTGGCTATATACGCCTATAGATGGAAAATATAAGCAGCGGAGAAGGGAAGGAAAGAAAATAGAGGAAGGGAGGATAGGGAAAGAGATAGAAGTAAAACAAGGAATAAAAGTGACGTGTAAAATAGGCTGTGTTTTGGTAGTATGATATTAGCAGTTGACTTTGTTGCTAATTATTGTAATCTATGCCATTGGAACATCTTGCCTTAGATTCTTTTAATTTTACTACCTTGGTCCGTGTACCAGATGGAAAAACCTGGGAAATATAACACATTTTGGATTTCCTATTAAATTTTATTCCTGTTTTGTGAATTCTGTTGTGCCATTTATTTTTAAGAAAAACTGGCAGATTTTTTTCTCTTTAGAATTGTGTTCTTAAAGGAAGTTTACAGAAAAAATAACCAGGTAGTTTAATTTAGTTTAATGTTTTAATTTGTGCTAATAGTCTTTCTCTTACTAAGACTGCTTTGAATTTAAAGATACAAAGAAATGATGCATTCCCTGAAGAACATCATGATGGTAGTGGTGGAGTCCATGATTAACAAGTTTGAAGAAGATGAGATACGAAGTCAAGAAAGGCAGAAAAAAATGCAAAAGGAGAAAAACAATAGTTACTGCACAGACAATTGCTCTGATAGCGATGCGTCATTCAATCAGGTGTGTTGTTTAGTTTTGCGTTTATGTCTTGAAATGGTGTTTAATAGTTACTAGCTTCAATACATTCTAATTAGCTAGATTTTTTTCTGCTTTCTAGTTTTAAGATTCAGAAGAAAACAATAAAATAACTTAATATTAAAGATTTAATCCATGAGATAACATCTTCCAGAATTATATGTTCAGTGAATGATTACATTATATGTGAGACTATTCTTAATGAGGTAAGGAAATAAACTAATGGATTTCTGATTTAAAAAAATAGTAACACTTGAAACAAATCTGCTTAAGCTTTAGTTAAATAAAACATCTTATTCCCAATTAATCCTTATTAATCAAAGTTTACATTATAGATGAGATATGAAGATAAAACATTTCCCTTAGCTATTTTCTGGAGATGAAGATTGCTGTGAATTGTTAGTTTTAAAACATTAAGCTTTTATTTTGGTGTGAAGAGATTTGAAGTTTTACATTCTCTTTCCAGGTTATTGGAATCCTTGTCATTTGGATAAAGCGAGCTAAGAGAAAGATAGGCCAGTGGCTAGAGTAGTCCTGATAGAAGACATGAACTTCCACACAGAAACTTTCAGGCCAAATGGAGTCTGTTTGACCGTCGTGTGAATCCTACCTGATATTTTTAGTGAAACATTTCACCTAATTAGCTGTAACACAGGGACATAGCTATAACATAGATCGTAACCATATACCAAAAAGGGATTTGAGGAGAAGGGCGAAACACCAAAAAAGTGTGTATATTGGTCACAGTTACCTTACACAGTCCAAGGGACTTTGTCAATGTGATTAAATTAAGGCTCTTCAGATGGGCAAAGTATCCTGGATGTTATCACAAGGGTCTGTTTAAGAGAGACTCAGGAGGGCCAGTCAGAGAAGGTGCTGTGCAGACTGGAGATGGGGTGATGTGACTGTTAGCTTTGAAGGTGGAAGGAAGCTCATGAGCCACGGAATCGCAGGCAAGGAAATGGGTTCTCCCCAGAGCCTCCAGAAGGAACACAAACCTGCTAATGTGTTTAGACTTCTGACCACCAGAACTGTAAGATAATAAATTTGTGTTGTTTTAAGTCACTAAGTTTATAGTAGCTTGTTACAGCAGCTGTAGGAAACCAATATAACGCTACTGTCCTTACCAGTCACCTGTCTTCTCCACCCTCCACACAAAGGCCAGAGCTTGTCTTCCCTGTTTTTTAATTTCTGGAAAAAGAAGATATTGTACCTTCGACTTTGTGTTTGAACTACCTTTTGAGAATATTCTGGGAACAGTCTAAGCTCCATCTTGTTGCTATGCTTTGAATTCTTCCAGTAAGACTTTTTTTGAGTAGCTTTTTTCCTTTATTGGGTGCATGGCCTCTCGACCCTGTCTCTCAGAGTATGTGCTTTCAACTACCCTAATTTATGTGTTGCCCTGATGACTCACATCTTAATCAGAGTATCTCGAGTTCACCCCATTTTCTGGCCTTTCATGAGATCTTCAAAGCTTTCACAATGCTCTTTTTTGGTGAGGAATTCTACTTTTGAGGATTTCATATTCCTGCTGAGGGAATTATGGGACTCTCATCTCTTTTTCAGCAAGATCAGCCAGAACACTAGGATAACCACAGCCCAAACGCTACTTCAGAGGTTCCTCCACCTTCTAGCTACCCTCGATTAATAAGATTTTGACTATTGTTATTATTTGTCTTATAAACAGAAAAATATAGGGCCTAAAATCTTAAAAATGCAGAGGTGAAAGGGAAAGGTAGCTGAGCTTAGAAAACGAGAACATAGAAGGATTGATAGTGTAGCTGCCTAGAGTCAGGCCTGAGACAGGTGGATTGTTTGGGAGAGCTGGATTGGTGCTGGTGTGAGCTTTTTTTTCCGCTTGCTTGTTTAATAGCAATCTCTTGAGACAATTTAAAACCAGAAAAACTGATTTCTTTGAAAAGTGCTAATATTCTCCTTTATGAATACTTAAAGTTTCTTTATACTTCAAAATATTAATAAATTTTTATTGTTACCTCTCCATGGTAACACTTTTAAAGAAAAGTGCAGAAGTTGTTAAAATATAATGAAAACATCTAAGAAATTAAGAAAAACTGAGTTTACTTGAAAGTGTTTTTAAAACTTTGTTTTTTTTTGAGTTAGTAACTCCGTTCTGTATTTAAGGCTTAATGAAGGGTGGGTGCATAATTTAAAGAGTTTTAGAGGCACTCAAATTTGAAAAAGTTATTCTACATGAAGCTAATGCATTCTCAGTCTTGGAAACAAACCAGTCTGAAATAAACTCCGGTTCTGCCGTTGATGAGCTGTGGACCTTGGCTCCTTAACCTCTCTCTCTGCCTCAGTTTTCTTATCTTTTATAGTGGACGTAGTAACAGAACCTACCTTATGGGGTTGCTTTGTGGATTTAATGGTTTGATGTATGTAAAGCATTTTGAACAATATCTGGCACATACTGAGCACTTATATGAGTGTTCGCTATTACCGTCGTCATCATCGAGTGGTGTTTCTTTTCTTTCCTTTTTCTTTTAAGAATAGGAAAGAAATCATTGTACAGTTAGACATCTTAAAGCCTGCAGTATCGTTAGGTTCAATATTTATATATTTCTGTTATTTCCTATAGCTGTATTGTTTGAACAACAGTAGTAGTTGTCTTTCTTTGACTGGTTGTATTTCAGTTGTTTATACTGTTTACCAACCAAACATTTAAAATAGAGGTTTTTACGGTAAGTTAATTTTGAGCGTGGTTTGATCTTTTTGCTAATTTAAAGTGTAGTCATTGAATAATGTGAATATTCTTTAGTATGTGTTGTAATAAAGTAATTGAGTATGAGAGTTCTGGAAAAATAAAATTATTGAGTACATCTTAGGTTCAATCTTTAGGTAAATTGCATCTGAAAGAGGTGTATCCAAATCTTCTTTTAGCATTTAAGACCTTTAATTTGGATCCATATGGTCAGACAAGAGGACCAAATACATCTTACACTGTCAATCTGTTCTATTTCTTGCTCTTTTCTGCTTAGACTTTGCTCAGAAATTATTTGCTTAGTTTATACTTCACGCATGTAAATATGTTTAAAAAAACCTTTCCTTTTGGAAGTATTTACCTATATTGATGTCACCAACAGATCTATCTCGTGTTGCTTTACGAATCAAGTTGGCAGACACTGCTCCCCTCCTCAAGAATTTTCAATCTGAGAAATATTTAGAACAGCTAACAAATCTGTATTCAATGAAACATTATCTACCTGCTCTAGTTAAATAAGCTTTTATAGTTAGTTGCTATGGTAATTTATGTTCATCCACTTAGACAGAGAAACACAAAAAGAGACCTTTAAAAAAATAGGTAATGTTTAAGGCAGGTGTTAGACTCATTCTGATTTCTAGGGTAGTTCAAATTATTGCTTAACACTTTTTTTTTTTGAGGAAGAGCCCTGAGCTAACATCTGCCACCAATCCTCCTCTTATTGCTGAGGAAGATTGGCCCTGAGCTAACATCCGTGCCCATCTTCCTCTATTTTATGTGTGGGACACCTGCCACAGCATGGCTTGATGAGTGGTGTGTAGATCCACGCCCAGGATCCAAACCAGCAAACCCCGGGCCACTAAAGCAGAGCGTGCAAAATTAACCGCTATACTACTGGGCCAGCCCTTTTAACATCTTTAAAGAGTAGTTTGTACTGTGTTTAAGAAGATAATTAAAAGAATCTTATAGGGTAATAAGTAGATTAATGAGGCTGCTCCAATCAGATGTCTTTTAAATGCTGTGCTTTTCTAATATGCAGTATAACGTGGAGAAAAGGCAAATATGATAGAATTGGGGGACTTCAACTCTTTGGATGTATATTCATCCAACACATATGTATTGGGCATATGCTATGTGCAATATCTGTGTCAGACACTGCAAAAGTACAAAGATGATTCAGATAGCATTATTTCTTCAAGGAGCTTACTTGAGATAGTAAAGAGATAGGATATGTAGGTAAATAGCAATTGTAAGATAGAAATAATGTCATGGGAATTCCAAAGAGGAGTCCTTATAACTAAGAATATCAAAGAGCTGTAGAGGGAAGTATTTCAGATAAGGGAATGGACAAAAGCTTTGAATCAACAAAGACTATGTTGTCATATTTGGGAACCTGTGAGTAGTTTATGTGAAGGATTAGAACAAGAGTTTATGGGGAACAAATTGGAAGGGTAGCTTAAGGCTAGATTATGGCATAAGGGCAAGGATTGTGTCTTAATCGTTATTTATAGTTTCTTGCTATAAAATCATAGTGCCTGGTACATAGCAGGTGTCTAACATGTAGATGCTGAATAAATATTTGAGGAATAAATTAATGCATTCAAAAGCTAAATTGGATTGTATTTTGTAAGTTAAGGGAAAGCATTTTAGGTTTTTGAACAGAAAAGTGTTTGTGAGGGAGATTGACCTGACATTTGTGTGCAGAAGGGCATGAAACGGGGAGAAAGTAGATGTAGGGAGATAAATTAGAAGGCTATCATGGTAGTTGAATAAGGAAGTAAAAAGGGCCTGAACTGAGGAATCTTTGTAGGAATAAATAGGGACTCATGTGAGAATTATTACAGAGGCAGCATCATTAAAGTTAACTATTGTAGTGTTTTGGAGGCAGTAGTGCAAAGTGGGAGTAGACTCAAAGGTCTAGCTATGGTTTCAAGCCTAGGTGGCTGGAAGATGATGGTGTCATGAACCATGCTTACGATTAGGGGGGACGATCAGGTGTGAAGAATGTGGTGAGTTCATTTTCTTTTTTTAGATGTATTGAATTTGAGAAACCAGTAAGGTGCCCTAGTGGTGGAACAGGTAGTTGAAAATGCAGGATTCACTTGGTAGAAACGTTGGGGATAACAGAACGCATGTCATCTGGGCAGAGGTGTTACTACTGACGCCATCAATAGGTGAACCCTTAGGAAACACGTTTTCAGAGGGCCCATAGAGACAGAAGGATGGATCAGAAAAGAGGGTTATCAAACCATAGTGTGCTGGGTAGGAGCATGGGGGCGGTGAATTTGAAGGCAAGAATGATGGTTCTTTAGCTGTAAAGAAGGCTAGAGGGAAGTCAGAGAAGATGAGGACTTAAGAAAAGATCTTTGGATCTGGTGGTCAGCAGTTCACCACAGAGTAATACTGAGGGAAAGAGGAGGGAAGTTGAAGCCTCACCGTGTCGATTAGCCTGGATCATGTCTGTGAAGTGAAAGGCAAAGGCATTTTCAGACAGTAAGGGTCGCTTGCCTGGGCTGTTGTTTGCAAGGAGACTAGAAAATGAATTCTTTGTCATGGGGAGCATTTAAGCAAATGAATCTTGTTGAGATTGAAGTATTTTACCTTTTTATTCACTGCTATTTGACATAATACTGGTTGTCTCACCAATATGAGCTCCCTATAGTTGAGAATGTTCAAACAATGTCTGGCTCCCTATTTATCAGGGCTGTAGAACATGCTTCTTCATTGGAAAAGAAGCTGGATTAGAGTGGAAATCTGTGGAAATCAGTGAATTATACTTTTAGGTTGCTTAATCTTGAATGGGCAGTTGATAGTTGGAGTCAGCTATTTTGTATTTTCTAGTAGAAAACTTCCTGAGAAACATGAGATTTACTTCAAATTTTTAAATTTTATTAATGATAAAAGATTTCGCAATTATCTTCCCCCTTAATTCTTATAATGATGCTTACAAGACAGATGCTTTCATATATACTTACATTTCCTGTTAGTACTTATCATTAGTGAATTTTAACTGCAGTATAATAAACTCAAAATTAAAGCTCTGTTACTTAACATGCAATACTTTTAATTTTAAAAGGTAACATGTGCAGACTTTTCAGCAGTTGAACTATATACTTTTAGAAAGGAGTAAAACTCAGGACACTTTCAAGACTTTTAAAAAATTTTGTGTTAGTTTGAACTATCAGGCTATTTTGTATTTGTTATGGAGTGGCTCTATGTGCCCTGTATTGTTAGGGACATTGTAACATGGTGCGAAGACTGGCTTTGGAGTCATTCTTGTATTAAACAAATGTGTACTGAGTGCCTACTCTGCATCAGGCACTGTTTCAGGTATTGGGGATACTATAGTGAAAAAGACAAAATTCTAAGTGATAAGAGGGCAGCCATGGAAAGCTCTGGAGGAAGGGCATTACCAGGCAGGAGGAATGGCAATGGCAAAGGTTCTTAGGCTAGGGTGAGCTTGGTGTCTTCCAGAGATGGAAAAAAGGTCAGTGTGACTAAAGACTGGAGAACAGAGGGGAAGAAGGGTATGAGCGAGAGAAGCAGAGGCCAAATTATGTAAGTAAACTTTTATATTTGATTCTGAGTCAAGTGGGAAGTCTTTTGCGGGGCTGAAGTAAGGGAGATGAAGGGATTTGATTTATAAGTTTGGGAAGCTCCATGTGACTACTGCTGGAGAAGGGAGCAGGATGGAGTCAGAGCAGAAGCAGGGAGACCATATAGGGTAGTTTGAAGTAGTCTAGACTAGAGTGGATGGCGCCTCAGCCACGGTTTTATCAGGGAAAGGGTAGTGGGTAGTTGGCGCTAAGGTATGTGAAACTCGTGGGTTATTTTGCAGGACTTAATGATATTGGATGTAGGAAATGAGGGAAAGTGAGGAGTTGAGATTGACTCCTATTTTTGACCTAAGTCAAAGTCTGGGTGGATGGTAGTGTCGTTTACCAAGATGAGGAAGTTTGAGGGAGGAGCAAGTTTGACATAAAAAGAAAATCAAGAATTCTATTTTGGACAAGTTAAGTTTGAGGTGCCTGTTAGACATCCACGTGGAAATGTCGAGAGGATAATTATATATGTAACTTTGGTGATGAAGTGGCTGATAGAAATTGGAGTCATCTTGATACACTTACAGAGCTGGCTGAGAACACCTCAGGAGAGAGGATAGACGGTGAAGAGAAGAGGCTCTCTGATGAGGGTGGAAGCCTGAGTTCTGATAGCTGGCTGGCTTGGAGAAGTTGTTTAACCTCTTCTTTTCATATTTCTCACATTTCATAGAGCCATTGTGAACTGGATAGTATAGGGCTTGTTACATAATAGATAAGAAATGCCAACTATTATTATTGCTATTTTTGTTGTTTTTAGATGATGATTTTAGGTATTATTCATATTTAAATTGCCTTTGGCTGGAAAAAGACCCTTTCCTTTTCCAAAATAGCTTACGGTCTACTATAAACTTTTTTCTAGATGGAAGTTTTTACTTCATGGAATTTTTCACCAAAGAGGAAGCCTGGAGAAAGGCTAAGGAAAAGTACAGGAAAGAAAAGGAACAAAAAAATTCAAGCCACATTGTAGCTATGCCTAGGGTACTGTTAGTGCTTTCTTGTTTGTTTTATCTTTCTCTTTCATACAGCTCACATTTCTGGGTACAAAACATTTTGACTTTACATCTTTCGAGTCCCGTAATGTTCTAATGCAATTGCTGAGCAAATAATAGTTTTCATATACATGAGGGTACACTGTTCTACTGGGACGTTCAGTTCCCATTTAAATGCCTTGGGAAACAAAAATTCTAAATTTGCTGCCAAATCAAAATAGGTCAGCCCCTTTTCTTGTTCAGAATGCATTTTGTGCTTGGAATTATATTAAAAAGTCATTTATAGCAATATTTCCAAAAGTCTACTAAATAAATGAATGTTCTGTCAATTGCGTTACAGAGTTACAAATTTTGTCAAGGAAAATTACAATTGATTTTAGACCAGTTGGATCCTGGGCAACCTAAAGAGGTAAGTTTAAAGAATAGCTGTCAAGTTCAGTCAGATATATATATATATGTTTATAATAGATTATGGTCAGTGGCAGCTGGGCTGTTTATCTTGAAGATAGGCCTTTATAATTATGGCAGTGCTAGACATCCCTGCTAGACTTTCTGATTTTGAAATCAAAGGTCACAGAGTAAGGGAGAATTGTCATGGTTTGTAAGAGGAAATTTTTATTTCTAGTTTCAATTTTGAAGGGATGAAGTTATGAGCAGTTGTCCCCCAAACTGTTCTTCACTGTTGCTTTGTATGTAGTCTTTTAGTGATTTCTTTGAAGAAAAAAGAAATCTTCATTTAATGCTCTTTCTGTTTCTAGAAAATGTGAGCAACTTTGATACATACCTTCATTTATTAGAAAAAGAATTTAAAGAAGCAATTTTATTGGGGGCCAGCCTCGTGGCTGAGTGATTAAAGTTCTGTGTGCTCCGCTTCGGTGGCCCGGGTTCGCAGGTTCAGATCCTGGGCACTGACCCACTCCACTCATCAGGCCATGCTCTGGAGGCGTCCCATGTACAAAAGAGAGGAAGATTGGCACAGATGTTAGAGCAGGGTTAATCTTCTTCAAGCAAAAAAGAGGAGGATTGGCAGCAGATGTTAGTGCAGGGCAAATCTTCTCACAAGAAAAAAAAAATAAGCAATTTTATTGAATTGTGTCTGTTTATATTTTAAAAGATTGTATAAATTATTGTTTATGAAATCTTATTTTGTTTGAAAGTCAGTCTGGAATAGAAAATATGGTAGGATTTTTGAAGTATCTAAGACTGTGTATATCTTGCTATTTGGTGTAAATTTTTGAAATTTTCTTCAACTTTTCATTTTAAACTAAATGAATAGTTATGATTTACTCCCACTGATTTTCGAAAAAAATCACAGAATTTTTTTCCTCTGAGCATTTTGCTGTCTGATTTATTTTCTAGGTTCTTAGTAAAGGTAATGTTTCAAAGGATACTGGAGATGGGACTTGACTTTTATGTGACAGTCTTACTGTCTTCTGGTGGATCCTTGGAAATCCATACTTGTTCAGAAAGCTTTATTCTACTTCTGCAAGTAGTAAATTCTTAATGGGATTTTGTCCTAAAAATTAACTAAAAAGGAGAAATTACTTAATGTTTTTGAGCTCTCTCTGTAGTGCCCCTAATCCCTGTCACAAATAAAGTTGTCTTTAGGAGTTGTTTTATATGGATATATAGACACTTTTAAATACATATGTATTGTCTTTTTCACCAAGCGTTTTTACCTAAAACTTGACGCCCTGGTTCAGCATGTCTGGTTTCCTGAGGTCTTAGCTCTTGTCTCTGATTCTTCACCTTTCTTTTTTTTTAAAATATCATTAGCTGTCAGTGATTTCAGCTGGGAAACACCCAGATTTTGAGGGACAGTTGGAGTCAATGTGTTATTGCTCGCTAGCTGGAGAGGGAGTCAGGGAAGCCTTGCTCCGTTCATAATTAGAGTAGAGCTTTTCTTCAGTGCTGTCCCTTAGGTCATATGGTGTTGAGTGAATTCTGACTGGATTTGGAGAAGGATGATTAAGAAGTAAACTTTCTGTGAAAATACAGAAATTCGATTTTCCATCATGCTGCTGAATGACTTTTTTTTCCTACCTCAGTGGTTAGAAGCAGTTAGAAGAAAATATGGTGTAGCAGTGAAAACAAGTTCAAATTAATTGTTTTGTGAGAATTGTTCACATATCCTGAAATGGGAATGCTTCACCAGGGGCATGTCTGAGCAACGTTTTTAAAACTAAAACTCTCAAACAGTAGGACTACCTATGGGGGCCTACTCAAGTGGGGAAAGTGTGGGACAAGGACCCTGGAAAACCTTGCCCTGGTGATTCAGATTCAGCAGCCATCCTTCCTCCTTTTCCACTTAGACGTGTGACCTAGAGTCTAATACACTTAGTCTTTTAACTTTTGTTTGCATAAAACAGTGTTTTTTTCTCTGCTTAACAATTTGTTTAAAAAAATGAGTTCTCAAGAATTGTTTTATAAAAGGGCATCTGATTCTCATCAATTGGCTCTTTAAAACAGTTATTCAGACTGCCTTTCATTGTGTGTTAGATATTTGGAGAATTGGTATTCTAGTGGCTGGGTATTAATAAAAATCTTCTTTTACAAAATTATAGGTGAGATATGAAGCCTTGCAAATGTTATGTTCAGCTCCGCCATCTGATGTACTGAACTGCGAAAATTGGACCACTCTCTGTGAGAAACTGACAATGTGTCTTTCAGATCCTGATCCTGTGTTTAATGTAAGGAAATGCTTATAGAAGTATTAAAAATAACTTGTTTCCCCACTATTCTGGAAACAAATAGAATATGATGATTTTCTCCAATAGTCGCTCAAATATTCCTGGAATTTCAGTTCCAGCTTTTGAATTGTCAAGATTTTCTTTAAAGGAATTAATTTACTATTTCACATTTAGATTCAAAGGATGGTCAATATCATACTTCATTGCCAAATAATAGTAGACTATGTTAATTTGTGCATTTTGTTTTATCTTGTGAGGGGATATCCAAATGTGTCATTGTTTTTTTTTTTCTTTTTCTGCTTTTTCTCCCCCAGTCCCCCCAGTACATAGTTGTATATTTTAGTTGTAGGTCCCTCTAGTTGTGGTATGTGGGATGCCGCCTCAGCATGGCCTGATGAGCAGTGCCATGTCCACGCCCAGGATCTGAACCGGCGAAACCCTGGGCTGCCGAAGTGGAGTGCGCCAACCTAACCACTCAGCCACGGGGCTTGCCCTGTCATTGTTTCTGAATTAAGAAAAATATTTTAAAAGAATATTTAAAATGTTTTTGAAAGAACTCATGATATATGAAAATCTGAACTTAAAGTGATTAATTAGAATTTATTCTCAAGAGTCCATAAGAATTTTCTTTATACATTTAAGTGTCTATTTAGAGATTGCTTAACTGCCTAAAAAGAGAAGGTAGAAAATGGTCAGGCTAAGAGTTTAGAAGATGATTGAGCTGAATCAGAAAGCAAATATAGAAAATTCCAAAAATTGTAAAATTATGAAGTCAGTAGAGAAGGGATTTTATGTAAAAAATGATTTGCATATGACTTGTCGGGAACACTTATTATATGATGAAAGGTAAGATTATATTAAAAAGTGCAGTAATTCTATGCATAATATCTATGATGTGAATTAAAAAAAATCCTGACTGTATTCCAGCATCATGTTTAAGTACAAATCAGGTTTCTTTAGAGGGTCTATCTTTTTCCTCAAAATTGATGTATTAATGAAGGAAAATTTGGCTTTAAAATTGATATAGTGGTTTATACAGAATTTTTTAAGACGTTAGTACAAGAGTTAAATTTTGCTAAATATTCAACAAATCTGTATTGAATACCTACAATGTGCATCGTTCTAGTTTACATGCTGAGAACACACTGAGTTAAGGCAGGCTTTGCCTTCATAGAACTTACGTTCTAGTAGAGGAGACAGACAGTAAACAATTATAAAGAAAAATCTCAATACACTTGTCTGTTTAAAATCATGCTCTTCCATCAATGAAGATGTATAATGGTTGGGAAACAGAAGTAGTTTGTTATTTTTATAAGGGGGAACAGGTGTTTACCTAATACCTGGATGCAGTTCAACCTTACTAACACCAGAGGGTGATGCAGACTCCTGTAAAAACTCCACAATCCAAGAACTTCAAGGGGGAAAAGGATATTTCAGGGTCACCTTTAACATCCCTCGGGTAACAGGAAGTACAATTGTAAATTTCCCTGTGTTTTTCTCTTATTTAAAAAAGACGAAATAGTGGTCTAATAGATTTCCTTTAAGTATTTTAAAAATTATATAACAACTTTGTAAACATAGTAGAGATGCTAATGGGTCAGTATAAGTGGCTTTATTTAGCCATTATAGATTATTATGCAGCAGGAGTCAGTGCCAGTACTTAAGTTAATAAAATTGCAAAAAGTTGTTATAGAGGGGAAATGGTAATAGAACCAATCATTTTTGAATAGAAAAGAAGCCATGGCGTTCTTTTCGATTTGAATTTGTGCTTGGTCCACCTTCTTAAGTTTGATTTTGCTTCTTCATTTCCTACTCTAACAAACTCGTACGTGTAACTCAGTGAAGCCTATAGTGTTTGAAAAGTGTGACAGATACTTATCAATTTCTGCAGCTGTAAAAATAGACTCCCCAAAGTATTTAATATCCTGTGTTCAGTAGGAATCTCTTGGGATTATTAGAAGATATTTGTAGTCATTTGGGTAATCACTTTTTGCAAGCATGTTATCCTAATATTAGAAATAGCCAAGGTTATTAGTTTTTTCCCACAGGGTAGAACATTCGAGGGACTTTTACATTTTTATTTAATGATAAGTTGAATTTCACTATTAGGATTAATTTCAACATAATATTAAAGTTGATATAATTAAAATAATGATAATAGCTATCATTTCTAAGTACCTCCTATTGCCAAATACTGTTCTAACTACATCCATTATCTCATTTAATTCATTTACCTTGTGATGGTTTCTACTTTGTTTTAATAATGTAGAATTTTGAAAAGATGTAATATTTTTCTTGGGAACAGGCAAAATTATTAGAGTTCTAAATGTTTAGTTGCTGAAACTACCCATGTAAGCAATTAAAAAAAAAATGTAGGATTTGAAAAGGAGTGGGTTTTTTGTCTTTTGTTTTTCCTTTAGCACTTCTGGGGCTTCCTGGTCTGACACCATTATGTTGTACCTTCCTCTCTCAACCCTCGCTGTCTCCATGTCTGTATCCACCATCGCCAGATTTTACAAGAATATACTGCTGTCTTAGATTTAATATTAGTTTTGGTTAGTTTTACTTTTTGCCCACAATTACAGGAATGTGACATTCTTGTAGATACATTACTTCTCAAGTTTCTGAATGCTTTATTTTGTGTTTATAAGTTTTTCACTATGTGAGAAATGATCTTTTTTCATCTCTACTCTATTTTCGTAAGAATCTTGGACTCACATCTTTTGTTTCACTTCCATAGGACCGGATTTTAAAATTCTATGCACAGACATTTACACTTTCACCATTACATATGACGAAGGAAATTTATACGAGCTTGGGTATGTTTATTAAAACATTTTTAAAATGTTTTTTCTTTGATTTATCCTCAAGAAAAATGCATAAGAAATAACTTTTTCAGAAAGCACTGTAAATGAATAGTAGTCATATTTCTTTTACTTTGTCTTTTCAGCCAAATATTTGGAATTATACTTTCTTTCCAGAGAAAATCATAGTCCTACTCTTTCAACTGGTGTTGATATAACTAATCCTAATGTTATCCGCTTGCTTAAAAAGGTATTCATTTGCTGCAATATGCTTTTATTTTTATTGAAATAGTTCTATATTTAAGAATTCTAATTTTTTTGAGAACTGTTATGCACTGCCTTGTAGGTTCGTCTTCTAAATGAATATCAGAAGGAGGCTCCATCTTTCTGGATTCGTCACCCAGAGAAGTGAGTCCCCTAATTTATACCAACATAAAATACAGAAGTGTTATTAACCCCACATGCATTTCAAAGAGAAAGAGTAGAGACAGTCTTAATTGATTTACATAATTTGGAAGGGATGAATAAGGTTTATCTTTTGGCTTTTTCTGTGTTTTGACCTTAGCTATGTGAATTGCTCTATGCAAGTACCATTTTCCACCATTTATTTATCCCAACAATGTAATAAAAGGGTGTCGTAGCCTCAGGTTCTTTCATTATTGGTTTTTGGTACTTTGGGCAAGCTCCTTAAATGTTCTTTAAACTTTTTCCTTTTGGTTCTAAATGTTTGAATAAGGTTTTGAGAGCAACTGTGAGTCTAAAAAGGAAAGTTAAATTTGTAGAGCCTGTTTTGAGGGAGAAAGAATGTAAGTTTTTAAAGCAGAAAAAATTGGTGTGAATCACACCTCTGCCATTTATTGAAATATTAAAAAAAAAGTTTCTAAAGATTACTTATCACTTTATCATTTCATAAATATAAAATATATCATCAGTACTATTTAGCGTTTGTTTTTTCTAAAATCACTTCTTTCCCAAACGTTAAGGTATATGGAAGAAATTGTGGAAAGTACTTTGTCCTTATTATCAGTTAAACATGATCAAAGCCATCTTGTCTTACAAAAGATTTTGGATCCAATCTACTTTCTTGCATTGGTTGATACCAAGGCTGTGTGGTTCAAAAAGTGGATGGTAAGGAAAAATGGCATATGTTTGTATACCTTTCAGTGCATTGCTATATTGTTTCAAAGAATTGCTAATATTTGAGTGTTTACTGTGTGCTAAGAGTTGTAATTGCTTTTACATGTGTTAACTCATTTAATTCTTATAACAATCTGTGAGATAGGTGGTGTATTACCCCATTTTACAGTTGCAGCAACTGAGGCATAAAGAAGTTAAGTAACTTGCTTAAGATTGTTTACGTAGTAAGTGACAGCCCCAGAATAGGATTTTAAATGGTAATTCATTTGAATCTATTAAAGCGAATGACCTATCCAAAATCTGGTCTTCTTTAGTTTAAAAGCTTCAAATTTCCTAAGCAAATGTGGTAGAACATGACAGTTCAGTGCTCATTTGTCTCTGGCTTAGGAGCAAAGCCTGAAAATGTCGCTTCATTTGCCTCCTCCCGAACCTGCAGTTTGGAAAATGTGTTTGATGCCTGCATTTTTTAATGCCTGATTTCCTACAGAGCTCACCACTGTCCTGGAACTAAAACTAATATTAAGAGTAAAGAAATCGGATGCTGTTCCCTCTCTCATCTGCTGTTGAATGAGAGTGGTCTGTGTCTGACAGTGCTGGTGTTGGCTTGTGTTCTCACATCTTTGTCCCTCTTAACCTGCCTGCTGGACACTGTGGGTTTGTTGCTGTGGGGAAGGGAGAGGCTAGGGCTATGACTTGCCACGCAAAGCACAACATGTTCTTTTACTTCTCAGCACAATTTGGACATTGTCTACCAGATGGCTTTCTTTTCCTTTTGTTATATAAACTATATAATAATGCCCAATTAACCAAAACACAATTCTGTCCAGTACTTAGCCCTTACCTCGCTTGTATAGTATGTGTTCGATAAGTGTTTGCTCAATTTAATCTGAACCCTTTGTTCCTCACATCTGACACTTGACCCTTTTCTTAATTTTATCTTGATTATCAAATTACACTGTTATTGTACAAAATATACAAAATATGTAAAAGCATAAATAAAATTAAATTTCTCTAATTCTACAACACAGGGATAACTATTATGATTTTGTTTTATGTAGTTATATTATGTATACTTTAAAATTTATCTATTTAGGTATTTTTTTAACAAAAATCATATTTTACTAACTTTATACTTAACTTTTTTTACTTTTTTATTGTCACTATTTGACTCTTAAGAGAATGAAGCAGATCACAGGAAAACTAATCTAACCAATAGAAAATTATTAAAAACCAGCTCCCTGAGTGTGTTCTAGGAGTAATGAAAATTCATCACGTTCTCCTACATTCATCTAGGGCAGAGGTTGGCAAACTTTTTAGATAAACAGCCAGACAGTAAATATTTTTGGCTTTGTGGGCTGTACTGTCTCTGTTGCAACTATTCAGCTCTCTGTTGTAGCCCCAAAGCTTCTATAAATAATCTATAAATGAGTGGACATGACTGTGTTCCAGTGAAACTTTATATACCAAATGAGGTGGCAACTGAATTTGGCCTGAAGGCTGTAGTTGGTGAATGGTCTGTGGGTTCCACTATAAGGAGTTCTTATCAGAACATATTGTAGGTCAACATATTTCTCTTACTAAAGCTGAAAAAAGGATTAGTTTTTGAAAACATTTTAAGCTACAGGGGTTAAAACATACAGGGTTTTGATTAACTCTCAATTAACCAAAACTTCATTTAATTAAGCTCTGTTTCTCAGAATTCTGATAGTTTTTACTGAATATTATTCTGTTTAATTTTATTCTTAAGTGAAATGAAGAAATTACATTGAACACTAATGATATCTAACATAATTTAATTAAATAATATTTACGTATATTTTCTCCTTGCTTTGTACAATGCATAAAAAGCATGTGTTAATCTCATCTATGTTTAGCTCCAAGGAGAGAGTTAATTCTTTTTGTCACTTTGAATCATTTTAAGAATATGATTGGCAGAGAACGATTAAGATTCTGTCCCTTGGGCCAGCCCTGGTGGCCTAGTGGTTAAGTTTAGCATGCTCCACTTTGGCGGCCTGGGTTCAGTTCCTGGGTGTGGACCTACACCACTCATCTGTAAGTGGCCATACTGCAGCAGTGGCTCACATACAAAAAGAGGAAGATTGGCAACAGTGTTAACTCAGGGCGAATCTTCCTCAGGAAAAAAGAAAAGATACTGTCTCTTTAGAGCATTTTAACCTTGGCAGATTCCTAGATATGTAGACAGTACAGTATCCTCTTCATTTTGAGGATTGTGAACCCTCTCTCCTCCCACTTTTGTATCTTTCCTTTAGGCTCTGTCATACACTGGCGGTCAGATATGTTTTTCGGTGGTGGTTTTGAAATAGCTTAGCATGGAAACTCAGCATAGTTGAGTGATAGAATGTTCTTCTACTGGTCTGTCCACGAATGATCCAGTTTTTTGATATAATTTGCATTCTTGTGGTTGCTATGCTCATAATCCATTGTACATATAAAAACCTGTTTTTCACTATTACAATAATTTAAAACTGAGTTACTGTGTAATTTATGATATTGGAATGATGCAGGAAAGATGGAGTTTGAATGATATAGCTTGAATACTAAATATCACTTTTCTCCTAATTTTAGCATGCATATTATAGCAGAACTGTGGTACTAAGACTTCTTGAAAAGAAATATAAGTCTCTGGTAAGTCTATATGTCTGTTCTTATGTTGAGAAATAATGTCACACAAAGATATATATGGTAATAACTTGAGTGTGCAAAATTGAGTGATAATTAATATTGGATAATGGAGCAATCCTCCTTTTATGAGACTTTTAAACTACCGTTCTGTGAACATAAAAGGATAAAAGTAGAGACTTAAAATACAGTCAGGATAACAATTAGGAAATATGTAGCAACTCCATAGTAAATTGGGCTGCTAACAAGCTAGTTTGAGATAAGCCATATTTTTAAGTATTATCATATAATTTAATTCAGATCAGGTATGTGTAAGGGAGTTAGTTCTGTAAAATATACCCATGCTTTTGACTGAAAGTTGCATGAAAAAACTCAGAGGGATAAATGCTTTTGCATTTGCAAAAATTGATTCAAGTTGCAACAAATATAAACTAATACTGTAAAATATCCTAGCAAAATTTTCTACATTTATTGCTCTTAGTAGAACAATGTGTAAGAGCACTGAAAGGAACTGAACAGAAATCAGCAAGTCTAATAAATAATAGACAAACATGAGAAACATGAAATTTATTAAAATATTTAAAAATACTAATATGACTTTGAGATGATAAATATGGTTTATAGAGTTAGAATCTTGAGTTTAGAAGTCAGGTGAAAGGAAAGATTCCTGGAATTGTGAATTTCTGGGTGAGCATGATACAGCATAAAATGAAAAGAGAACAATAATTGTTTTGTGTAAGAGAACTGAGCTTCAGAAAGGAGAAGAGAGGGATATTGAGTGATAGGACGGCGGTTTCTTTGTGGAGGAATAGGTGCTTAAAAATCTGTAGAGAAACTGAATTGAAACAAAGTCTTTCCACATCTCGTTTCTCTCCCATTTCTATTTTAAATGAATGTTGTTGCCATATGAGCATAGACTGATCTCGTTAGAACAGAGAAAGGGGAACAAACAGAACAGAGTAACTTTCCCCCACCATAGTTTGACATACAAATAATAACTCACTGTCGCTATCACAAGGGCCCCAGTGAAAATATTTCAAATATATTTCTTATAGATCAACTCTTAAAATCTGTACCTTATTTGAAAAGCTAATTATGCTACAATCAATTTTTAGCCTGCAAATATTTGCTGTATTATAAACAACTTCAGTATTTTGTCAACTTGGTCAGATATTTTATTTCATGTACATAATTGGTCCAACTTAAACCTCATTTTCTCTTAAAACTTTTCTAAACGTACAAAATATCAAAAGATTATTTATGGTATATATTTTTTAAAAGTAAACTTGGCCTAACTTTTGAGAAGAAACATTGGAACAAATGGATGCAACATCTGTTTGTCCCCATTTTCTTTTCAGAATCGAGGATCAGATTTTGTATTTATAGTGGAAACTTTGGACCACTACATGGATTTGTCTTTTGTTCTATGCGACCCTTGCATAAGGACTTTAGTCATAGCAGCCTGCTTAGCGCGATGACCTGTTAAGGCATTCCCTCTAGCGTCTCATTGGTACTGTCTGATAACATTTTCTGCAACAATGGAATGTCTGCGTTGTCCGATAGGGTGGCTACTAGTTATATGTGTCTACTGAAAACTTGAAATGTGATTAAGGAAACTGAGAAACAATTTTTAATTTTAATTTAAAACTAATATGTGGTTAGCGGCTACTCTATGCAATTCTATCTGTTACATTTATGACATTTTCAGTAGGTAGCATTAGGGAATTTATGTACATGCTACCAATTTTTAAAGGAGATGTCTGAGGAAGTTCAGAGCTTTGTTTCCATAGCATTGCAAAGTCATAAACTAGTTGAAAAGCGTTTTGACACTCAGCATAAATATTTTACCTTTCATTTTTAACAATTCGTATCTTTGCCCACTTTACCTTTAAGGGAACAGCTTCTGAAATGGTTTTATGTAGTGCATTTCCTATTTTTCTTGCCCTCTCAAAATCATTTTAAAAGATAACGACAGACAGGGTATTTAAATTCTCCTTTGGTTTTTCCTACCCTGCTGTTTGTTAACCTTTTTTTTTTTTTTCTTTCCTGTCTTAAGAGTTAACAGTTAAGTGAGCTGGCTGGTATATATTTGATATTACAGGAGACTAAGTATTAAAAGCCTGAATTTTATAGCAAATTTTTCTGTCTGCCTGAGGTTTAAGAAAATCTTTCTTTATTATATTACCTCAACTTGACTCTTTAAACTAGCGTTTAAATTTACCTACTGCAGATCTGCTTTCTGTTCCTGCAATTTAAAAGGTGTATTTTATAATGTAATTGTTCCTCTCCTGAGACTGTACCTTTTCCTGTGGTTGTGACCTCTTCTCAGATAAAAGGTGGCATGTTTGAGAAGCGAGAAGGAGTAGAAGGGACAGACGTGAGTCTGAGTGCATGGGGAAGATAAAGCTGGTAGAGATGAGTGCAGGAAGGATGGGTTTCTGAAGGTTTGAAGAGAAGTGAAGAGTCTTTGAAAGAGATTATCTTGGACATAGTGTTTTGAGTTCTCAGTTAAAGAAGCTGATTTTTCTTTGCTCTTTTTTTTTCCTAAGATTCGCTTTGAGCTAACATCTGTTGCCAATCTTCCTCTTTTTTTTTTCCCTCCCCAAAGTCTCAGAACATAGTTGTATATCCTAGTTGTAGGTCATTCTAATTCTTCTCTGTGTGATGCCGCCACAGCATGGCTTGATGAACAGTGTGTAGGTTAGTGCCCAGGATCCCAACCGGCGAACCCTGGGCTGCTAAAGCGGAGCAGGCAAACTTAATCACTCAGCCACGGGGCTGGTCTCTTCTTTGCTCCTCTGTCTCCTCATTCTTTAGAGCTTTTCTTAAGTATATTTATTTTGTCATGTCAAAAGTTCCCTATAATGCAATCTTTATTTTAAGTCATTTTGTTGTTGTTGTTGTTGCTATTTACCAAGGTATGTGTAAGAATTAGGATTGTAAGAGTAAGTTCATTTAGGAGCTAGGAGTTCTATCATGAGGGGCTTTCAGCTTAGACTTAGACAAACTTAGGACGAACATGAAACAGATCACTGCACTTTTGGCCAAAAGTGTGTGTTTATGAATAGTGTCAGATTCTGACCAAGTGGAAGCTAGGGAGGGGGAATGTATGATCAGCGACATAGCAATCATTGACTCCCCTCTTTTCACTAATTGACAAGTCAGGGAGTGTCCTCATTAAATTTACCGAGGAGTCCCAAGGCACTCTGACCAGTTGGCTTTGTGTGAATTTGTTGCTGGTAGCCAGTAATCTCAGTGCTGGCTTGAACTGGATTGACTGGGTTAGAGCCTTCTTAGGCTCTGCCTCCTCCTCTTCCCTATGGAACACTCCTTTATATATTCAGTAGATGCGGGATAAACCAAAACAAAACAGCAATTAAGATGCCTTATAAAAGACAACAAAAGCTAAACAAGCACAGAAGAATAAGCAGGTTAATAGCAAAAATACCTACCAAACTGTGCCCCTCTAAAACAGAAGGCTACTTTGTACAAAGACCTATTTCATTACAAATCTTAGGATAACAAAATGTGGCAATGCAAACTCAATGAAGCAAGCTGGACCTCATGTTGTTGTTGAGACAGACTCACATGGTGTCAGATCTGAAGCACTATCAGAGTTTGGGACTCAGGGGGCCCAGGGAACACTCTTCTTTGTCTGAGGATCCCATGAAATGCTGCCAAGTGAGAGTCTTCAAAGTAATCTTCAAGGAAGCTCCAGAATTGTCAAAGGTTAAGACGACTGTTCAATATCTGAAACAATGCATAAAGCTGAATTTATTGCTTGCTTAAGTTAGACAATACAGATTGTTAATCTTACAGGGTTTTGAGGAAAACTTGGAACTCAGGGATTGATGTTTTTAGAGATAAGAATGAGTTCGTGCCACCTGTAGGAGAGTGGCAGTTCAGGTGAGATTGCTACTGACTGACTGGCTTACATGTATTTCCTAGAGTGTCTGTTGTTGTTGGCTGATTTTCAGAAGCTAGGGGCCAGCACTGGTCGGATGGCTTTCAGAAGTGTGTTCATCAAGATCTGTTGGCATATATTGATTTACAAGATGTTCAACTTGCTCTGCTGGATACCTATTACTATAGTTATATAAATTTGTCATTGATTTATTAAGTAGATTTAAATCTGGTTCTGGTGCTTGTTATTTATATAACAATTACTCTTTTCTGAGGATTGTGAGGAATTTTTATTCTTAAGTAGGTGTTATCCTGGAAAAGAGAGGGAGTGTGGTTAAAGTAGTGGCAGGAAAATATTTCAGGACAATGGAATAGCATGTTTAAAGGCTTAGGGAATGGAAAACACAGTACATTTGGAAAAGGCTCATATTTTATATGACTGCACATAGATTGCTAAGAGAAATGTGGCTGGTATTAGGGAAACTTCCTGAAAATGAGTTCCCTGAAAAGTAATATTAAGTGGATGATGTCTTTTGAAAAGTTCTCGGGTGCTTTAAATTGAGTCTCTGTCAACTGACCTCAGTTTGTTCCCATTCATGCATGGGGCAGGGAGTAATTCCATAAAACTAGAAAAGACCTATTTAAGGGAAATCTTCAACCCCTTCCCTTTTTGCAAATAAAAATGATGAGTTTGTTGTAAATACCAGTTTTGGGTATGTTTCAGATTTAACTGGTATGTGTTGATAGATTTTAAGTTTTCAGCAATGTTGCTTTTAATGAATTAGTCATTTGACTGGTCATATGTTGAATTGGATTTTGGTGACTGATTTTTACACAGATAGATGTATTTCTGTATGTGTTGATGTGTGTGTAACTGGGGAGGGGGCATATGGAGGATAAGATGAATAAGACTGTGAGATCATAAAGAAATTTTATATATGATATGTCAGATTTAGGAGATTGGCCTTTATTCTGGAAGTGTGATGAGCCACTGATAGGTTTTTAAGTACTGAAGTAATATCACCTTAGGGCTTTGGAAAATTTGGAAAATGAGTTGAAGGTGCTACGTGGAGATAGGGAAGAAGTGTTGAAGTGGAAATATTAAGAGGATTTGCAGTAATCCAAGCTAAAGATGGTGGAAGCGAGAATTAAGCATATGACAGTGTGAATTGGGATAAATGGATGGACTCAGGGGTGTCATGTTTAGAATGTAGGATTTAGAGACTTGGCTTTTTGAATGGGCGGTGGGTGAAGACTTACTCAATTGAGTGACTAATGTCATTCATTGAGATACATAGTAAGAGGAAAATAGGAAAGTTGGGAAAGGTAATGACTTTAGATTTGGTCATATCAAATTTGAGATCCAGATTTCCAAGAAGCAATCTTGGAAGTCGCGTCTATTTTTGTCCATTGGCACCAACATTATAAGCAATTGCATATTATTGATCTGGATCTCTAAAGTTTGATTTAGACAAGACATTCAGATATGGGAGGGGGTCCCCAGATTTGATGATTTTGCTGTGAGGACTCATAGGACTCAGCATCCAGTTGTACTCCCAGCTATGATGCCTTACAAAGAAAGGATAGAAAGCAAAGCTGGCCTAGGGAAAAGGTGCATTTAGTGAAGTCTGGAGGATACCAAGCATAAACTTCCAAGTCTTTTTCCTAGTTAAGTCACACAGGACTCCACTTAATTCCTCTAGCATGAAATTGTGACAGCTCATATGAAATGCTGTCTACCAGGGAAGCTCATTAGAGACTCAATGTCCCCTCCCCCGCTTTGGTTTAATTGGAGGTTGATCATATAGGTACCCTCTGCCTAGCATATACCAGGATTCTAGACTCCAAGAAGGAAGGCAGGTGTTCAGGATAATACCCATTGTTCGTACAGTTTAGGTACAGCAAACCCCTCTTAATCAGTTCTTGGAATAGTGGGAATTCTCCTGAAATCCAAGTTCCCAGATGCTAGTCAGGGTCCACCCTTGTAAGCAGGCCTTTCCAATGATAGAAGTCCTGCCATGTTAACTCTTTGCTGCATAAAACTGAGGCCATAAGAATGAATGAGACAGGGGAATCCATAAATTCCTTGACACCACAATTATGAACTTGCACACCCTTCATCTTTTTCCCCATCTAAAGCTTAATCCTTCCTTCTTTTTAGGTCCTAGTTCCTCCTGCTCTTGGACACTTTCTTCTGTCAACTCTCCTCTTTCTCTCCTTCCTTGTCAAACTCCTCCTCTCTACTAGCTTCCTCCAGTAACATTTAAGCATGACCATATCCTTCCAACAAGAAGAAGAATTCATTCTTGACTCTAAGACCTCTATGTTTTACTCTGTTTTTTTGTTTTCACAACCAGCCTTCCTGAAAATAATTACACTAGCTGCCTTTGCTTTTTCTGTTGCTGTTCCTTTTCCTTATATTCTGATTTTATCCCCCAAACTCCCCTGAAACTGATCTTTTCAAGATCACCAGAAACCTCCTTATTACCAAATCTAGCAGTTACACTCCTTATCTCAATGGTGTCTTCTATTTTATTTGAGAATTCGAATGAGAGGGTATCTACTGGAAATAGGTAGGTGCAGAAGAAGGGGGAGATTTCAAATCTCTGCTTGTGGAGAATGGGGAAGGAGGTAGAATGGAGAAACACTGGGCACAGTAGAAGTTGGAGATTGTTTTTTATTGTAACTGTTCTTTGCATTATGAGATTTTTAAAAAATCAGTTTTCAGCAATTCTAGAATCTGAAAAGGAAATGAAGGCTTGATCCAGTTCCTATTTTGCTGGCTAGGTAGGAAGAAGAGACTAAGGCAAAGGAAGTGGGGATGTTGGCAGGAGTTTTCAAAGTCATGGCCAGAGTTTTTGCATTTTTCGCTATAAAATGTAAAGTCGCGTCTATTTTTGTCCATTGGCACCAACATTATAACAATATTTGTTGGTCCACAAATACTTTTTGGTGTTTCCCAGAATGATACCATAGTTACAGTGTAACTGGGGAGACAGCTTCAGTGGCCTTGAAAGGCACTATTCTAAATATTTTTCTTGAATATTTTCCCAGCATATTTTTACAGTCTTGAGTCACTTCTTTTAACACATGGACTTGTGGGCTGCAAACTTCTGGAATTAATAAATTATTAATCTATTAGGTAACTGCGGCAGTCCAGCAATGTGTTCAGTATTTTGAGTTGTGTGAGACCATGAAAGTTGATGAGTTTTTGGGACATTCAAAGCATTGTGGTAAGTATTATTTTCTGTTACATATTTTTAAAAATGGTAAATTTTATTAATAAAAATAGCTTAGTAATAACTTATTTTTAAATAGTTGTTAGTAGCATGGTAGATTAGATCACTTTTGCTAATGTAAAATATTTTCCACAAGTTTAAGACACACTGTAATGACTTTTTATGATAGATCTACATTTGAAATTACTGTATCATCTTCCTGGTTCTTACCGTGTACCGTTCTTCAGTTCATACTAGGGTATATGTCCTAGTTTGTTATACTGCAATAATGCACGGTTCATTCTTTACTCCTCTAGTCTATCAGTCATCTTTATGTTTTAGTTGGAGGAAAATTTTTATGAAATACTGTTTTATTATTGGACACCCCATTCCACCCCGTGATTCCTCTCTGCTTATCCTCAGTCTGAGCTAAAATATCCTAGAAGTTTCATAATCTGGCCCTATTCTCTCTATCCTATCTCATCTCTAATTATTGGTTGAAGTGACTCTTTTCTTAGTCAGATTCTTCTCCGTACCCATGCCTGTACACCTTTGTTATTCCTACTCCTGCTGCCCCTATCCATAATCCCCCATGCTAGTATATATCTTATTTGTTGTGAGAGAATAAGCATTATTTTAAACTTTTCGGGATGGCTTCTCTGCCAATTCTGAATTTTTATTTCTCTTTTGCCTACATCACACAACTTGCCATGTGAATTTGATATCTTTTATCATTCTGTTATTTTATGTTACTTCTCTAATGAAATAGTAAGTTCTTTGAGAATATGAAGATATCTTATAATTTTCTTTGTTTATCACTGGGTAAATTCTTTGTCTAACTCAAGAAAAATGGTCAAAGACCAATACCAGGTTTCAAAGGTAGTTTTGTAGTGGAGGAGATAGTACAGAAGCCAGAACTTATTCTTCAAGAGAAAGAAAAGGAAAAGGATACATAAGTTTATATGAGTTATGTCATTTTTAAGTTCATAAATTTTTCTAATTTCTTAATATTAAAATGTTATATCTATCTCCCCCCCCCCCCCCCCCCCAACTTCTCTACCAGCTCTTTGTGGCTTTGGTTTCTTCCCCATCTAGTGAAGACCTCCGGGTACTTCCCTGCAGTCTTTTGGCATTTCTTTCAGAATTCTTGCTCTTTTCTCTTTCAGTTTTCTACCTACAGATCCTCGACCTTCGATCGTTTCAGTCTTCCATCTTCTCTGGTCCTCAGGAAATTGAGCAGAGAGCATGTGTGACATAAATTGATAGTGCACATATGTATTTCTCTAACCTTGGCTGTTCTCTTGTGTTGTTTTGGAATCCCGTTAGCTGTCCTTTCTTCATGTTCCATAATAGTTATTGCAAGCCTTCACCAGTCCCATCAAGCCCCCTGCCTTGCCCTTGCCCACTTTCCTTTCAAGAGGAGACCTTGCATCCTACTTCACTAAGGAAAATGGAACTTTCCAGCTAGGAATTCCCCAGATGTCCTGCATCTGTGCATACAAATGCATGTTTATATGCCCTTATCAATATCCCCTTTCTCTAGGCTACAATGAAGACGTATTCTTTTGTTCTGGATTGATCTCTTTGTTTGTTCTTGCTTCTACTTCCATCTGGTATTTTTTGTGTTTTGTTTTGTTTATTTTAGAACCAGGATACTGTTTCACTTGTTGTGTGTCTCTTTCTGTTAGTACCTCCCCCTGCATCCTCTAGACCTACTCATGGATCTTTCTTATAGAAAATGAGCAAGTTCATATGTACTTTATTCTCTGCTTCCCTTCAGAGAAAAGCTCATCTAAGTATTCGGTGTACACCTAGGCCCCGTTTCTCTGCCTCCTATTCTTGCAGCCATGGAAATGAGGCTTCTATTTCTACTGCTCCATGGCCTTGCCATTATCAACTTCCACTCTTTTTTGTCCTAATTTTACAGCATCTATCTTTGTTGACCCTTTCCTCCTCTTCTTCTTGGTATCATTTTTTTCTTGGATTTCTTCATTCTCATCTAATATTTGTTAGTCACCCGCAAGGCTCTTTTCTTTATATGCTGTACTCAGAGGTTTTTCCCTTTGCTCTTTTCTCACCTTAGCCTACCTCTTTTCTCTTCGGGGAGCCCATTCACTTTGAGGGTTTAAAATATTATATATTTATGTATACATGGTAAATGAAATATTTAAGTCCATACCTCTTTCCTGAATTCCAGATCCATGAATTCATATCATACTTAGCATATCGATCTGGATGCTCCTTGAGTACTTCAATTTAAAGTATCAAGGACGGAAATCACTTTCTCTTTCCAGACCTGTTTTTTGTTTTTTCCTTTAGAATTACTTAAATCGAAACATTTACTATTTAACAGATATTTGAGTTAGCAACTTGAGAATTTTCTTATTCTTTTATGATCCAGATGTAATCCTGTCTAAAGCATATTGATTTCATTTCCTTAAACATTTATTTTTATCTGTATGTTCTTCTCCATCCTTTTTGCTAATGCTTTTGTTCATGATTGTTTTAATGAGTCTTACTTCAAACCTTGACCCTCTTCCATCCACCTTTTATGCTGCCATCAGAGTCAGTTTTCCTCGTGCATGTTTGACTGTTGCTTTCCTGCTTAAAACTCTTTATCATCTCAGTTGGCGCCACTATAAAGCCCATATTCCTTCTGCAGCTGAGTATTCTGTGATCTGCCCCTGCTACCCCCCAGCCTCTTGTCTCTCCCACTTGTCCTCCCCGTGCTCTGGTTACACCAGACTATTTGCCCTACTCTTAATTGGAATCCCAGGTTCATGGTTTTTAACATCAGCAAATATTTCAGGGTCTTGTATAAAAAGGCTACTCAATAGATCTTGAAGGTGTGAATGAATGAGTGAATAAATGATATTTATTGAAAGGTATCTATATTTTAGAGACCCTAATTTCTTTTGCTAACATGGTTAATATGATCTTTTGTAGTATTGGCTTTTAATTGGTAGACTCAAACAGTGACTAATATTTTTGATAACTTTTTCGATCTTCTTACTGGTGATTTGTCTATTCAGATTTTTTGTTTCTTCTTGATTCAGTTTTGGAAGGTTGTATAAGTCTAAGAATTTATCCATTCTAAGTTATCCAGTTTGTGGGCATATAGCTTTTTATAGTATTCTCTTATAATCTTTTTATTTCTGAGGTGTCCATTGTAATTTCTCCTCTTTTAGTTTCTGATTTTATTTTATTTGAGGCCTCTCTCTTTTTTTATTGGTGACTCTAGCTAAAGGTTTGTCAATCTTTTTATCTTCAAAGAACCAGCTCTTAGTTTCATTGATTATTCTTCTATTTTTTTTAGTCTCTATTTCATTTATTTCTGCTCTGATTTTTATTATTTCCTTCCTTCTGCTGATTTTTGGCTTTGTTCTTTTTCTACTTCCTTTAGGTGCACTAGCAGATTGTTTATTTGCGATTTTTCTTGTTTGTTGAGGTAGGCCTGTATTGCTATAAATTTCCCTCTTTGTATTGCTTTTGCTGTATCCTGTAAATTTTGACATGTCGTATTTTCATTTGTCTCCAGGTATTTTTTGATTTCTCCTTTGATGTCTTCATTGACCCAGTCCTTATTCAGTAGCAATTTGCTTAATCTCCACATATTTGTGGTTTTTCCTGTTTTCTTCTTCTAGTTGATTTCCAGTTCCATACCATTGTTGTCGGAAAAGATGCTTGGTATTATTTTAATTTCCTTAAATTTATTGAGACTTGTCTTTTGGCCTAATATATGGTCTGTCCTGAAGAATGTTCCATGTGCATTCGAAAATAATTTGTCCTTAGGTCTGGGTAATTGTTCCGAGGGTAGTGGGTTTGTTTTGTCTGTTTGCGGAGGTGAATCAGAGTCCTCCTACTCTGCCATCTTCCCAGCAATCCTCTTAACTTACTCTTAAGTCCCACTTGATGACAGATGATAACTCTGACAATCTTAGATATTTGTTTTAGAATGAACACTGTATGCGTATTACACTTTTCTAAGTTTCTTAAATTTTGTGATGAATGCTTTTTCCCAGAGATTTAGGTGTTATAGGGTCTTAGGAAACAATAAAGAGAATAATTTTTTTTATGTATACCAACAGTGTTTCCATTATAGACTGCAATCTTGTTTAATGTTCAGAAGGGAATGAAGACAGGTACTATAAAATACAATGGCATTAAAATAAATGTAATTGTCTTCTCTTTTAAGGAAACAAACAGAAAACTTTCTACTACTCAGGACAAGAATTACAATATATTTATTTCATTCACTCGCTGTGCCTTTTAGGAAGATTATTGATCTACACACAAGGCAGAAAGCTATTTCCTATAAAGCTGAAGAATAGAAAAGGTAAGTGCAATTAGGAGAAATGAATGTGTTCAGATATGGTAGGATTTATATGCCATGGATTATTAAAACCTGGAGATTTTGCATGGTCTCTTCTAGGGTAGTTAGCGATATACCTTTTAATCTGTTGATGGCTTATACACCTTGAAGTGCTACGTTTTTTCTTTTTCAGTCTGTTCTTCTTTCTACATGTATCGTTTTTTCTTTTCATCTAGCCTTTAATGCTTTCCTTATTTCTCTCTGCCTTTCCAAATCCTAGACATACTGAATGACCTGGATTCAGAACTAGAAGTCCCTGGTTAAGTTCTCTTTCCCCTATAAAGTAGCTGTGACTTTTTCGGCAAATCTTTTAACCATTGTTAAATGGTTAAATGGTTAAATGGAGTTCTTTACCTGTAAAAATGGAATAATAGTATCAGTGGTGCTGGGCTCACAGAATTTTGTGATGATTGCAGAGATGAGGGTTGAGAATACTCTTTTATAAACTGCAAAGTGCTGTACCATTTGATGTGTTACTATGTTGATATGTTACCCTAAGTCCCATTTTTAAAGTTTTCCCCTGTCACACTTCAGCACATGCTATTAGTTATCTTCCTTACCTCCCTTAAAGCTTTGTCTATACTAGAAATATAGAGAGATCAACAAGCTTTTTCTGTAAAATGCCAGGTAGTAAATATTTTGGGTTTTGTTGGGCACATACTATCTTAGTTGCATATTCTGTGTGTGTGTGTGTGTGTGAGTGTGTGTGTATATATGTGTATGTGCTCATGTGCAAAAACGACTTATCACAGCAGGCCTGAGAATGCTATCCTCAGAAGACCTGTTTGCAAGGATAGACCTTCGCTGGCAGCTGGGAACTTGGATTTCTCACTATTCCCAGAACTGATAAGACTGGCTCACTGTGCCTAAACTGTTTGTACACACAGTGTGGTTTGTGCTGAATATCTGCTTTCCTTCTGGTAGTCTGGAACCCTGGTATGTGCTCGGTGCTTATGTGATCGGCCCTCAATAAAAACATTAGGCACTAAGTCTCTTAATGAACTTCCTTGGTAGACAACATTTCACGTGTTGTCACAACTTGTTGCTGGAAGAATTAAGTGTATTCTGTGTGACTGCACTGCGAGAGGACCCTTGGACGCTTGTACCTTGTTTGCTTGGACTTCACCCTGTGCACTTTTTCCTTTGATGTGCCTTGTGTCCTTTTGGGAGTACAACTATATATTGAATCCTGTGAGTCTTCCTAGTTAATCATTATATCTGGACATGGCATTGGGGACCCCTGGTACATTTTAGACACCTTTTAAAAATATAAAAAAAGAAAAAAATTCTTAGCTTGCAAGCCTTACAAAATTATGCCAGAATGGCTATAGTTTGCCAATCCTGTTATAGAGTATCTTCATTTTGAACACTTTTTTTCTACTATTCCCTAGTTATTTTTCTTAAATCTTTTCTTCTCAGATAGGCTAATTGTGAGCTCCTTGAAAAAAGAAACTGTTTTATGTACTTCTCTTGTATTTCCCTTGCTAGCATAATTCAGGCATAATGGGCACTCAGCAGAGAAGTGATTTCAAAAAAAGAGCTGCCATTTTATAGGATATTGTTAAACTTTACAGAAATAGAAAGATTAATATATATTGTGATGTTGTTGCAGATATTCCACTGAAGTTTATATGTCTATTATCTGTAATGTAGCACTTTACATTGACTTCTAACATTTATGTCTCGGCCTATGAAATGTCACAGGTCATCTCAAAACTCATAGTTGAGAGATCTGTTCTGCTCTATTAGTGTTCGTGAATATTTACCTTAAATGTCCCATGTGCTTTCACCAGAATCTTTATGTGAGGATGCTGTAGCAGGGGTTGGTAAACTATACCCCATGGGCCAAACTGAGTATACTGTTTTGTATGGCTTGTGAGCTAAGAATGTTTTTTATATCCTTAAATTATTGGAAAAATTAAAGAAAGAATATTTTATGATGTGAACTATATAAAATTCAAATTTTGATATACACAGTCTTATTGGAAAACAGCCATGCTCGTTCATTTGCATATCATCTATGGCTACTTTAGTGCTACATCAGAACTCAGTGTTTGTGACAGAAATTGTTTGGCCACAAACCTAAAGTATTTACTATTTGGTCCAAAAAAAGTTTGCTGACCCCTTTTCTGTCGTGCTATACAGATAAGTTAGCTGGACAAACACATTAAACTGAATTTTATTGCTACTAATAGAATAAACTTAAACAGTCCTGGTCAGATTCACAGATCTTCCTACGGTGGGTTTATGGTAAGTGACTGGTCCAACATAAATGGTAAAACTGCACCTTCACATAACACCTACTGCATCACTTGCCTTGCCATCTTTTGACTTACCATGCCTAATTTGTTCTTCTGGAGTCTTCTGTCTTGGATTAGGGCCCCCTTCTCCCTGATTGTGCTACAGTCTCTGTGAAAACTCAGAATAGGAGGATGGACTCTCAGTTAAATCTTTCTAAGTTGTAAGAGTGTGCTAGAAAATAATCTTTTTTCCTTTTTCCTTTTTGTAGATTCAATATCCGTTACAGATCTTCTGGTTCTGTTTACCCAACTTATCTATTACTCACCGACTTCTCCAAAGATGACAGCAGCACATTTAGGTAATTCTGCTTCTGCTTTAAATAGAGAAATAGAATATTTAAATATTTTTAGATGTTTTCTATTGTTTAGATGTTTTGAGTGACCTAGTTTAGTAAAGAGGTTTCATAAGATGCAGTCTTATTCATAACAAATTACATTGGTCCTGGAAGTAAACCATGAAATTTAATTTTGTTCACTGATGTTTTAAGATGTTCCTTATCTACTACCTTTTTATTTAGAACCAATTTTGCTGAGAATATTAATGTTCTTTATTAACATCAAGATGTTCTTAAGAAATGATATTAAGGGAAGTTTGATTGATAGGTACTAATGTATTCTTTCTTTCTATTTTCTATCCTTTGTACTTTCCTGGATGTTGTGATCAGCTTGCTTATTTCAGCTCATATGCAGAATTTCAGGATCTTCTATTATTAAAGGATAAATAAAAAAAAACCCAAACTCCATGTTTTTCAGTAAAATGCCTTTTAGTCTTTAGCTATTGACTGGCTTATAAAAAGTATGTTAAAATATTAACATTTAAAGGATAACTTATATTTTTTTCTTTGAAATATCAATGAAAATTTCCAAAGTAAAACACTCTAATAACAAAACACCCCCGTAAATCATAGACTCACAGTGTTCTAAACCTGGAAGTTACCCTAGAAATGCTGGCATAGATTCCAAGAGAAACTCAAGTGAATCAAAGAAAAAAATGGTTTGGAGGGCTGGCCCCTTGGCTGAGTGGTTATGTTCATGCACTCTTCTTTGGGGTCTCTGGGGTTTCACCAGTTTCGATCCTGGACGCAGACATGGCACCACTCATCAAGTCATGCCGAGGCAGCGTCCCACATAGCACAACCAGAAGGACCTACAACTAGAATATACAACTATGTACCAGGGGGATTTGGGGAGAAGAAGAAAGAAATAAAACAAAAAAGAAGATTGACGACAGATGTTAGCTCAGGTGCCAATCTTAAAAAAAAAAAGGTTTGGGCTGTATATTAGTGCTATAATACATCTATAAAAAAGAAGAAACAAAACTGGTAGGTTTTATCTGTGCAATTATAATAGCTTGTTAGTCCTAACAATGGCTCTTAGACTTCTTTCTGCCTTTACGGCATTTACATGTGTCAAGTGCTAGGTAAGGCCCCCCTGCTATATGCTCCTACGACAGACTGTGCTTCCTTCAAGATAAAAATTTTCCTTCTTTGTTACAATTACTTGTTAATGTCTTGGTTTACTATCTAGTGGACTGTTTTTTGGTTTGTCTGTCTTCTGTCTGTAGTGCCTAGCACAGTGACTGTCGCATAATAGGCGCTCAAAAATAGTGGATAATTAGATGAATGAATGGCCATATGTGCATCAATATTATATCTCTCATTGCAAACAGGGTTTCTCATCTGGAGCTGGTTGACAAAATCACTTAACTTTCCTTTTCTCTTTTCTTTTTGTCAAGTATTAACTTGAAGTCTTAGTACGTTCGTGGAGTATAGAATATTGTAATATAAATTAAGAATTTTGGTGTTACTTTTAGTATTGTGTCTTACTAAGACAGCCTTACACTGCTAACTTTTAGTTCTTTAGTTCTCATGCAAAACACTATTTTGTGACTATATTAGGAGGTCAGATAATCTGAAAATACATTAATTTATAAAACAAAAAATATCACACTCATTTTAGTGACTGTTCCCTGTGTTATATTTATGTGTATTTATGTTTTCCTGTGTATATTTTAAAAGAAAATCTTAAAAATACTCCTTCATTTCACTGGTTTTATGGTAACACAAGGAGTATACTAGTCTCCAAGAAAGTCTCTCCTCCCCTCTGCCGCCTTTTTGGCCATCATTTTGTCTTACTCTAATTTTCTACCTGGCTCAACACCTGAATACATTTTTTTTAAGCAAAAGAATAAAAGTGAATCCAAGTAAGTGTTTGCTGGGAGAAAAGTTACAGGTTTGCTTCAAACCCAATCCTCAATGTCAAGCAATGATTTAGTGTCAAACAGAGAATGCTCTTATGTTGTTGTCTTTGGCGTTCGTATTTGTCATTTCCTCACCTTTCATTATCTTGAAGATATGGTAAGCTAATTGATATCCCCTTAAGTTTCAGTTTATAATTTGGTCATACATCATCCTTTGGGCATTGAATTGTGTGAGTTTTTAAAAACTATTTAACCTTGATGTTGAACATTTTGGAACAGCAATAGTTAACCCATAAATAAAAGCTACATTAAAAGTAATTAATGTTTAAAGTTTTAATTTTTAGAAATACTTCTTGTTTGTCAGAGAATTACTCTCCTGCATCTGTGGTTACTGAAATTCTGCGGATACTCTGTGATCAAAAAGAATGTGCTATTGAATGCTTATATAGCAGCAGTGTGATTGAGGCACTTCTTCAACCTATTTATGCTTTAATGAAACGAACTAAGGTTGGTACTTGCTAGAAAGAAAGAGTCTCTTAACTGGGTATTAGTGAATATTCAATGGGACATTATTTCTAAATTCAATATATTTGAACTGTTACACCGTCTTCCATATATGAATGTATTTTATGCTGACATAGATTTTTATTTATTAAATCAGTTTATGCAGTCAGTTGATTGATTAGTTATAAGGTGGGGGAAAAAGTACATATGACATCTTAAAATGTTTTCTAGTCAGGCTTAGATCTGATGGTTATAAAGACTGAGAAGTTATTAAGAAGCTTGTCTTGCAAATCTAATAGATCTTGTGAATGTTTTATTTGTTTTATTGGCAAATTTATAGCCTTTGGAAAGATGATTATTTTTCTGAAGAGCCAGTTCTGATTTATATGAAGAACCAGTATTACTTTAGAAAAAAAGCTTATGAGCATCCCAGTTCTGAAATATGCGTGTCTCTTTATGGTTTGTACAGTATATCTCCTTATATTATGTAATTTAATCCTCACAACTGAGGCTGAAAGTGACTTGCTCAAGGTCAGACATTTAACAGGTGGCAGAGTTGGTACCACTCCTAGTATTGTGGTCTGTCCAGTATATCCCTTCACTTCTATAAGTTAAGCTTCTGTGGAATGACTGAAAGCTTCAATAGGCTAAAGGTTTTTGCCTTTCCGTGTCTATGTTTTGTAGTGTTTTATTGGTTTCATCTCCCTCCTGTGCCCCCCCTCAATGGGCCATGCAACTGCTCACCCATCCATGTATTCGTTATTCATTGCTCATTCAAAAAACATTAAGCATTTATGTGAATGTGGTACAAAGTATGGAATTCTGGGAAACTAAGGTGATATTATGAATTACTTTGATCTTACAATCAACCTTGGGGAGGCAAAATAAGCAGAGAAGAAACAGAATTCATAATATAGCTTAATATAATAGAATGCCATAAAATAAATAGTATCGTAAAATACAGACCATATATCAGAGCTTGAGGAACATGCTCTTGGTTCTGGTACCATAGCTGTTATTTGTGTCTGTGCTTTCTCATATCTGTAACTTTTTATTTTCTTTTGGCATCTTTCCTTTACCTATAAATGAGTCTGAGTCTGTCTCATAGTTGGGATGGCAGAAGCTCTTACCCAATGTACATCTTTAGCTACCACCTAATATCTGGTCTTTTTAACGATAAACTTTTAATTATGGAAGGCTGCCGTTGTTGTCTTGGCTCCCTCTCTTCCCAATAAGTTTTCAAATCAGTCCATTAGGATCCTGCCTCCACCACATCACTGCTGCTGCTTTGATTGCTGTTATCCATAACTTCCTAAATATCTAACTAGGGATCACTTTTCCTCCTATTATTTGCCTGATTGTTAACGCAGTAGACAACTTCTGAAGTTATATTTACTTGGCTTTCCTAAAGTCATTCTATTTTTTTTCCCTCCCTTTCTAACCCTTTTGTTACGTCTGAGGGCTTCCTTCCACGTCCCTGCTGTCTTCAGTGATTCGGGACCTGGTTCCCTTTCTTTTCTGTCAGTACACTTTTCCCAGATGATCTTTTCCAGTCCCATGGATTAGATATAGAGTTCTAAATTTAGAACTCTTCAGCTTCAGATTTGTCTTTAGCTGCCTGCTGAACACTTTTTGGAGTTATTCCGTGAGCAAGTCAAACTCGACATTTTCAAAACAGTAGTACATTTTTCTGCCTCTGCTTCGCTTCTTCAGGCTTACTCGCATTTCCCTTTGTGGTGAGTAGGACTGCTGTAAATCTGGACTCCTTCCTCAGTCTCTTCATTCAATTTGTCATGAAGATCTATAGATTTGTTTTCCTTCGTATCTCTAAAATCTGTATATTTCTCTTTATCCTCACTGCTACTGCTTTCATTTAAGCTGTGATAATTCCTTGCTTGGAATATTGAAATAATTTCCTTATTTGTTTTTTTTCCAGTCTTTCACCTTTCTAGCCGATCCCCTATATTGCCACTAAGACTGTAACAATGCTTTCCTGCTTGTTGCTTGCTAGATAAATTTCAAACTTTTTAGCTAGATTTTTACCAAGTTTTCTGTTTTTTTGTGTCCTACCTATTTTATTTCCATATATTCCAGTTATAATAGCTCATTTGCATTTTCTAAACAAGTTTGATATTTCACTATGTTTGTACACTTTTCCCCCGTCCTAGAAAGTCTTAAACTTGGTCTACATGAAAAATTCCTGTCTTCAGACCATAGTTTATTTTATCTCTGAAATTTTCTCCCAGTTCTTCCTGACAAGGTTAGGTGTTTCTTTCTCTATATTCCCATGCTATGTATTTGTGTAATTGTCTGTGTATTATGCTGGAATTATTCTTGAGAGTGAAGAAGAGCCCTCTGGCACATAATAGACATTCAGTATTTGACTTAAGACATTCAGCCTCACCCACTGAGCCACTACTGTATCATTGACTGCTGGGTACTTGAAATATAGACGTGACAAAGACATATTCATTGCTTTTGAGGAGCTACTCTAATAGGAAAGGCAGACTATTAAACAAATAAAAAATTGAAAATAAAGAGCAGAAAGTTAAAAAATAATTTTGTGTGTATGTGTGAAGGAAGGAAACTATTCTAGGCAGAGAAGTTGTTTTAAGAGAGACATTTAGTCTGCAAGTGATGGACCGTCTGATAGAGTTAGGACTTTTTCAGGTGAATGTACTTGGCTTATCATTAGTTAAGCTAACCCACTGAATTTATTGGAATTTATTGGTTGCAATGTATAGATACTCAAATTTATTATAGAGAATATGTGCATTGGCATCTATGCAGGTACAGGTAAATAAATAAGCCCCAGAAAAAAACAGGAACTTTAGTAAATTTAGGCTTCTATGTGGCTCCAGCATTAACTTGACTCTAGTTTTTAGTATTTGCTTTGTACTAATTTGTCATACACTGGCAAGGATATTTTTACTACTTCCATTGAAAGTCAAAAGTGATGAAATATAATTGGTTTAGTCTATGTTTTCTAATTATGTGACATCATTGGCTATTGGTTGGCCTATGAAATGGCTTTCTTTAGTCAGACCTACAATTCATGACCAGTTCAGTTGCAGGAAGTGATGCTAACCCTTAGAAGGATGGTAGTATGTTAGATACGCATGTATAATAAAATTAGACTGGATATACAAGAAGCCAGTGTGTTGGAAGTAAAGGCAAAGTGGAAATAAAGGAGCTACTGCATTTGTCAATCAGAATTATATATAAATCCGTAATAGAAGTAGCAATTCCTCCAACTGTCTTGATAAACAATAACTGGCTTAGGTAAAAAGTCTGTATGTGTTTGCCTCATCAACTGTGCTAGTAAGAGAATATAATGACACATTTAATTCAGACATATTATTTCACAGCCAAACAATCATTAACTTTCTTTTTGTTGTGGTAATATAACTTTATTAGACTACACTACCACCTTTGAATTTTAGTCTGTGATATGTTAGCCTGTCATACAATTATTTTGTTATATTTTTAATGTATAGGCTGTTCCAAATTGCTCTGAAACAGCATTAATTCACATAGCTGATATTTTGGCAAGAATTGCGTCTGTAGAAGAAGGACTTATCTTACTTCTTTATGGAGAAAATATGAACTCTTCTGAAGAAAAAAGGTATGTGTTTATGTTTTAAATAATTTATGGAATTTTTACCATACAGTAGTCCCTCCTTATCTGCTGGGGGTACATTCCAAGACCCCCAGTGTATGCTTGAAAATGCAGATATTACTAATACTTATATATACTATGTCTTTTCCTATACATGCAAACCTATGATAAAGTTTAATTTGTAAGTTAGGCGCAGTAAGAGATGAATGGTGCTTTGGGACCATTAGTAAGTAAAACAAGGGTTACTTGAATACAAGCACTGCAATACCGTGGCAGTCGATCTGATGACTGAGACAATTACTAAGTGACTAACAGGGTAGCGTATACAACATGGATAGACTGGACAGAGGGTTAATTCACATTCTGGGCAGGATGGGATGGCACAGCATGAGATTTCATAATTCTACTCAGAATGATGCAGCAACTTAAACTTATGAATTGTTTCTGGAATTTTCCATTTAATATTTTCAGACTGCGGTTGACCGTGGGTAACTGAAACCTCAGAAAGTGAAAGCACAGATAAGGGGGAGTCTACTGTATTTTCTCAATCTGATTCACAGTTTCCAAAATATCATGCTATATGTTGATGAAAATCTGGATAACTATTCTAGGTACGGTTAGATTTTCTGACCATCCCCCAATATATTAGATGATCTTCAGAAAGTTGAAGGAGTAATCAAGATTATGGACAATGCAGGCAGAGTAGACCTTGATGTCTGTAATTTCAAAACAAGAATAGGCGAGTTCACTCTAGATGGGATCTTTTTGCTCCCTCAGACTCCTCTTCAAACTTCTAAAGCCACACATGATTGATTCAAGTCAAACCATACAAAAATGCACAAAGGAAAAGCTAACTACTTTCTCATCTTCCTTCTCTACTCCCATTCAGTTCCATCTCCTGGCTTAACCAGAGGTAACATTTTGGTTCTACTTCTAGACTTTCTCTGCACTTGAAACTTATTCATATTCATAGAATTTTTATTTCTTCTTCACAAAATGGTATCATGTTTGTTACTCTGCAGTTTTCTTTTTTGTGTAACCATGAGCATCTTCCTAGGTGAATATGGAATGAGACATTATTTTTAATAGCTCCATAATACTTTTTGATTTGGCATTACTGTAATTTTCAAACTTTCCACCTGTTGATGGATATCACATTATGTCTAGGATTTTGCCTCCATAAGTAATGCCACAGTAAGGGTTCTTTTCTTTATCCTGTTGATCTGATGGATTAAGTTAATTGATTTTTTTTTTTTTAAAGATTTTATTTTTTTCCTTTTTTTCCCCAAAGCCCCCTGGTACATGGTTGTATATTCTTAGTTGTGGGTCCTTCTAGTTGTGGCATGTTGGATGGCTCCTCAGCGTGGTTCGATGAGCGTTGCCATGTCCGCACACAGGATTCGAACCGACGAAACACTGGGCGGCCTGCAGCGGAGCGTGAGAACTTAACCACTCAGCCACGGGGCCGGCCCCTTGATTTTTAAATATTGAACCTGACTTGCATACCTAGAATAAATCTCACTTGGTTGTGGTATATAATTCTTTTTATACATTGTTGGATTTGATTTGCTAATATTTGTTGAGAATTTTTGTGTATATGTTCATGAGAGGTGTCTGTCTGTAGTTTTGTAATATCTGTGTCTGGTCTTGATGTTGTAATCCTGGCCTCATAATGAATTAGGAAGTATTGGCTCTGCTTCTGTCTTCTGGAAGAGATTGTAGAGAATTGGTACAGTTTCTTCCTTAAATGTTTGATAGAATTCACCAGTGATCCTATTTGTGCCTGTTGTTTTCTGTTTTGGAAGATCGATAATTATTGGCTCATATTTAATGTATATGGGCTTATTCAAATTGTTTATTTCTTCTTGTGTGAGTTTTGGCAGATTGTAACTTTCAAGGAATTGATCCACTTATCTAGGTTATCAAGTTTATGGGCATAGATTGTTCATAATATTCCTTTAATACTCCTTTACTGTCCATGAGATCAGTAGTGATGACCCCTCTTTCATTTCTGATAGTATTAATAATGTGTGTCTTCTCTTCTTTTCCTTTAACCTGGCTAGAGGCTTATCAATTTTATTGATCTTTTAAAGAGAGTAGCTTTTGGTTTCTTTTTTTCTCTATTGATTTCCTGCTTCTAATTTCATTGATTTCTGTTCTGGTTTGTATTTTTTGCTTCCTTTGGAATTAGTTTGTACTTTGTCTAGTTTTCTCTGGTGGAAGTTTAGATTATTGATCTTTAGGTCTTTCTTCTTTCTAATATATGCATTCAATACTATAAATTTCCCTCTAAGCACTGTTTTTGCTGCATCCCACGGATATTGACAAGTTGTATTTTCATTTTCATTTAGTTCAAAATATTTTTAAACTTCTCGGGAGTCTTTTTTGACCTATGTGTTGTTTATAAGTCTGAGAGCATATTTTGTATGATTTATATTCTTTTCACTTTAAGGTGTGTTTTATGACCCAGAATGTGGTCTGTCTTGGTGAATGATCTGTGTGAGTTTGAGAAAAAGGTATATTCCACTGTTGTTGGATGAAGTGTTCTATAGATGTCAACTATATCCCGTTGGTTAATGGTGTTGCTCAGTTCACCTGTGTCCTTACTGACTATCTTCATGCTGGATGTGTCAGTTACTGACAGAGGAGTGTTAATCTCTAACTATATTGGTCAGTTATCTATTTCTCCTTACAGTTCTGTCAGTTTTTGCTTCACATATTTTGAGCTGTGAGGTGCATACAAATTAAGGATTATCATGTCTTCTGGAAAATTGATCCCTTTATCATTATGTAATGCCCCTCTTTGATAATTTTTCTTGCTGTGAATTCTGCTCTGTCTGAAATTAATATAGCTACTGCAGCTTTCTTTTGATTTTCAGCGTGGTGTATCTTTCCCCATCCCTTTACTTTTAATCTGTCTTTGTTCTTATATGTAAAGTTGGCTTGTATAGACAACATGTAGTTGGGTCTTGTGTTTTTTTTTAATCTACTCTGATGGTCTGTCTTTTAAGTGATATTTTTAGATTGTTGACATTTAGAATGACTATTGATATAGGGGATTAATATGTATCATATTTGTTACTGTTTTCCATTTTTGCCCTTGTTCTTTCCTTTTTCTGTTGATCCACTCTTTTTCTGCTTTCTGTTATTTATTTATTTTTTTCATCATGTGTGTGTTTTAGTCTGTTTACATCTGGGAACATTTTGTCTTTCTGACAATATTCACACAGGACCAAGGTCTTTACGTGGCTCACCATTTAATCCTCACCGCAGCTAAAGAGAGGGCCTTTGTGGTCATCTCTATTATATAGATGGAGACTTTGAGGCTTGGATTTCCTTAGCTTTAATTTAGTATGGGGGGGTGACTTTCTTTTCTTATTTTCTTTATTTTTGACCGATTTCACACTGATTAAAATTTTATTTTTTCTACCTACGAAAGTAACACAGACTCCTGGCAGTGAACAGGAAGGAGGAAGGTAGAATAGTAACTAAGTTGAGCATCAGCATGGAGTGAGGTTAGGTGCCTGAGCCCTGGTTCAGACCACTTGGGTTCGCATCCCAGCTCCACCACGCAGTCATGTGCTTCTCGGTGCCTGAGTCTCCTCACCTGTGAATTAGGGATAGTCAGCACTGCCTGCCACACAGGGCTGTTGAAACTTTAAACTGCGCCTCACAATGGTAACGCAAGGGTCAGCTTTTAGTGTGCACACATGTGTCTTATAAAGAGTAGGCTGAGTGCTGGGCATGGTGTTTTCTTCAAGTACCTAACCTAAGTTTTGTAGAAGGTAAGCTTCTGAACTCCCACCTATCTCAGGTAGAATAAATAATTTTCTTACTTGGTTGATGGCTTGGCTGAATGGAGACTGAAGACCTGGTTACATTGTCTTCCTGCTCCACTATCGCCAAGTCTGATGTCTGAGTTTCTTCTTTTTCAGGAATTTTGTTTTGCCTCTGAAAGTTTCTAGGACCTGATGTTTCATGAGGGTGTGACTTGCTCTAGGCCTTTTTTTATTTTCTTAGGTGTTAGCTGGACAACATTAGGCTGAAGACTTGCATCCTTTGACATGAGGGACTGCTTCTGTTTTGTGTTTGATCGTTTTTCTGTTTCTGCGTTCTCTTTCTGGTGCGCCTGTGACTTGGAGGTTGAATTTCCCTGAGTGGTCCTCGGGTACCTTAGCTTTTCCCTCATAGTTCTCTGTTTCAGTCTCTTTGTTTTGCACATAGAGGATGTTCTTGAATTTATTTTGACAATCGTTTTTATTTTCCAAGAGCTCTTGTCCTTAGTTTGGTATTTTTCAAACTTGTCAAATGGTCAAATGGACTGGGTTTTCCTGCTGGGGAGCACATGCCTGGCTGCCAGATCCTGTCACCCAGTGCAGGAGGGGCCATCCTGGTCCAGAATGCTGACTTCCACCCCTCTGACTCCTTGTCTAGTCAGGCACTATGTGGCTGTCCTCACCGGCACCTGGTTTCCAGCTCCTAGCCTTTTAGGCTTACCCTCTCCAGAACAGCTCTGTCCAGTAGAGCTTTATGCAGTGATGGAATGTTCTGGATCTGCACCATTCAGTAAGGTTGCCACTAGCCACTTGCTGCTGTTGAGCACTTGAAGTATGGCTAGTGTGACCAAACTGAGCTGTAAATTTAAAAATTAAAAAACACTAACTCTGGCTACTGGCAATGATATTCACCTCTCTAGAGAGTAAACCTCCAGTCTTCTACTAGGATTGGGAAGGGGCTATAGGCTGGAAGACCTTAGACCACTCCACTGGTTTTCAGCCCCACCTACCTCCTGTCCTTGGCTCTCCGTGGTGCCTCAGACCTCTGGGCTTGGGCTGTGCCTGCTGCTGCTGAGTTCTGCAGCTCCGCTTCTCCTGAGCTGCTCCTCAGTTACCATGTGTCTTGCTGCTTTCCCTCTTTTGAGTCACTGCTGACATCTTTTGGCTGTTCTTGTTTCTTTTCCTTTTTTTCATTGTGGGTTTACATCTCTTGATTTCTTGATCCCTATT